GTGGTCGTAACTAGGGGTGGAGCGAGGCCCGCCACACAATATAAGCCGGGCCCCCCAGTGGGAGCGGCTGCTGTTGTTTTCCTCGAGTCTCTACGTTCTACGCCCTACGTCCGAAGACAAGTCACCAACACGGGGACCGGGACCCAAACTGGGGTCCCGTCCACCGTAGCTACTCCCAGTGCAGTTAGTGTAAATAGCCTGATGGACCACCACCATAGGTTATCTGGTGAAGGGGCAGTTACCTCTTTGTGTTAGTGTGTTGGTATTAATAAATGTGTTGCCTCCAAGAGTACGTCTGAGTGTCCATTTGAGCCCACTACACATGCGGTGGAACCTTTCTTGCCAAGCACGGTCATGGCTCGTTCCTATCGCTTCTTGGAAGTGCTTAAGGTCAGGTTTAGTTTTCCCGTTGGAAACCCAAACCACCTTCAATGCCGCCAACCTCCCCTCCCCACCACCCTGCCCCAAAGGCTTCATCCACAAATCCACAAAGGGTGCGCTGTCTGTGCTGTCTTGCGATATCAATCAATGCATTTTATGGACTCGAAGCATTCACATCAGCCCATGTGCAAGCACTAGTTCGATTATTACATCACGGGATTGTGAGAAATGGCAGTGGCTTGGGGAGGCCTTAATCCAGCAGTGGTTTGACTGTGGCTGATGATGATGACTGTTTTTAGAGGCATAACTGATAGTAGCGCGTGAGCACATGCAGGCTTGTGCCTTGAGGAATCTCAGAATCTAGTGGGGGGGATGGGAAAGCACTAGAGCTCGGGCACTTGGTTGATTATGTCAATTAATTGGCTAACAATTATAATTGACTTACTTTTTTGTGGTTGATTACTCGGGCCCTTTTAAAAAATCACAGCCTGTCTCTTGAAGGCTGGAAACCCCCCTTGCAACCAACGTCCAATGTGACGTGCCTGATGATGTCACCAAGCTCCGCCCATCACCAATGATTATGTTGTCTGATTCTTCGAGTAACCGAACCGACCATCAGGTAGAGTAACAGAACCCTCACTTAACTGGTTTGCCTGGGAGTGGAAGTACGTGCGAGCAAGTCAGCAACCTTTGAAGAAGCACAGCATGCCCTGGTAGATTGTTTTCACGAGCAAAGTTTTTATGAAACCTTGGGAGTATACCAATAAAATACCGGGACGCAATACTACATCTTGTATGATAGACACTGTCAAAACATCTGAATACCAAAGCGGTGCACAAATGGTATTGTGCTGACCTGCAACTCCACCACATACAGTGAGGGAAAAAAAAGTATTTGATCCCCTGCTGATTTTCTACGTTTGCCCACTGACAAAGAAATTATCGGTCTATAATTTTAATGGTAGGTTTATTTGAACAGTGAGAGACAGAATAACAAAAAAAAAATATCCAGAAAACCGCATGTCAAAAATGTTATAAATTGATTTGCATTTTGATGAGGGAAATAAGTATTTGACCCCCTCTCAATCAGAAAGATTTCTGGCTCCCAGGTGTCTTTTATACAGGTAACGAGCTGGGATCAGGAGCGCACTCTTAAAGGGAGTGCTCCTAATCTCAGCTTGTTACCTGTATAAAAGACACCTGTCCACAGAAGCAATCAATCAATCAGATTCCAAACTCTCCACCATGGCCAAGACCAAAGAGCTCTCCAAGGATGTCAGGGACAAGATTGTAGACCTACACAAGGCTGGAATGGGCTACAAGACCATTGCCAAGCAGCTTGGTGAGAAGGTGACAACAGTTGGTGCGATTATTCGCAAATGGAAGAAACACAAATAAACTGTCGATCTCCCTCGGCCTGGGGCTCCATGCAAGATTTCACCTCATGGAGTTGCAATGATCATGAGAACGGTGAGGAATCAGCCCAGAACTACACGGGAGGATCTTGTCAATGATCTCAAGGCAGCTGGGACCATAGTCACCAAGAAAACAATTGGTAACACACTACGCCGTGAAGGACTGAAATCCTGCAGCACCCGTAAGGTCCCCTTGCTCAAGAAAGCACATATACATGCCCGTCTGAAGTTTGCCAATGACCATCTGAATGATTCAGAGGACAACTGGGTGAAAGTGTTGTGGTCAGATGAGACCAAAATGGAGCTCTTTGGCATCAACTCAACTCGCGTATTTGGAGGATGAGGAATGCTGCCTATGACCCCAAGAACACCATCCCCACCTTCAAACATGGAGGTGGAAACATTATGCTTTGGGGGTGTTTTTCTGCTAAGGGGACAGGACAACTTCACCGCATCAAAGTGATGATGGACGGGGCCATGTACCGTCAAATCTTGGGTGAGAACCTCCTTCCCTCAGCCAGGGCATTGAAAATGGGTCGTGGATGGGTATTCCAGCATGACAATGACCCAAAACACACGGCCAAGGCAACAAAGGAGTGTCTCAAGAAGAAGCGCATTAAGGTCCTGGAGTGGCCTAGCCAGTCTCCAGACTTTAATCCCATAGAACATCTGTGTAGGGAGCTGAAGGATCGAGTTGCCAAACGTCAGCCTCGAAACCTTAATGACTTGGAGAAGATCTGCAAAGAGGAGTGGTAGAAAATCCCTCTTGAGATGTGTGCAAACCTGGTGGCCAACTACAAGAAACGTCTGACCTCTGTGATTGCCAACAAGGGTTTTGCCACCAAGTACTAAGTCATGTTTTGCAGAGGGGTCAAATACTTATTTCCCTCATTAAAATGCAAATCAATTCATAACATTTTTGACATGCGTTTTTCTGGATTTTTTTGTTGTTATTCTGTCTCTCACTGTTCAGATAAACCTATCTTTAAAATTATAGACTGATCATTTCTTTGTCAGTGGGCAAACGTACAAAATCAGCAGGGGATCACATTTGTTTTCCCTCACTGTAGCTGTTTGCATCGCTTGTATGCAGAATGTTGGCTTCCATCGTTAACAGGGATTCATTTCTCACATAATTTTTCCAGGTCGGTAGTAGACTGGTGTAGGTGGCACATGACCACTAGCCACAGCCATAGCGAGAGGTGTACTGGATGTGGTGTGCCAGGCGCAGAACAATTGCTGGTTGCCAACCCAGACAGACCGAGCTGAAATTAAATCTGCTAGCAGTGGCGTGACCAAGCAATTGCAGAGCTGCACCTTAACCTTTACCACCGATCCTCTTTCGCATTTAGAGATGCGATGGGATTCACATACGGGCTCAGATTCTCATGAAAGACAGCTCTCGGTAGCTCTAGTGTGATTTAATAGGTCCATCGAGATGGAAATGAGCAAGTCACTTCAGCGAGCTCAGCCCAATTATGGGTTCAGTTTCAGAAAGAAGGGTCGTCTTGCCTCCTGTGCAGCACCACTCATGGGCCACGAATTTATGCATGTTCAATCACATGCAACAGTTTCTCACATGTTGCCCTTAGGTCAAAGTTTAGATTACACGTGACTGCTTTATCTCACAATCAACATTTTTTTCCGTTAAGTTTTAACAAACCACAAAGTAATTTATATATTTAGTTAAACATATTTTTTCCTGCTTTCAAAACGTATTTCTTTTTTTATTCTGTATGTTGCCTAATCTCAGCATTATCTTGGAAGCCAAGTGAAGTTGAGCCTGGATTGTGCTTGGATGGGCGACCTCCAGGCACAGCAGGTTGTTGTAGGCAGTGGGGCTACGCTTTTGATGGCAGAAGGCGGTGCAGAACAATCCATTGTTGTACTGAGCTTGTACGTTTCCTCACCTTCATCAACCCGCACTGATCAGAGTGGTGAAGTACGTTAAAATAAAACTACACGACTTGTGCGACCAATGGGAGGGTCCTCATCCAGCAGTGGATTTTCAAAAAGGGTTGTACATGAACGTACTTGTTTTACACATTTCGATTTACACATTTCGATATCCACATTACCCATCTGCATTATTCTACGTGGAGCTGTGGCAGACGATGCGAGGGCATGCAATTTCACGTGTCATGGAGTCCTTAAGCCTTGTGACCGCTGCTAAGCCACAGGTGTACGCAGGGTGGATGTTCTCGTCGTTTTATTTTCAATCCTCATCGGCACCCGACGTCGATAGGAATTGCCGTGGCTTTTAATCAAACTGATTGTTTCTATATTATTCATGAAAACCTACCGCGACTATAATATGGAATGATAAATGAGGCTCGGCAATGTTGTGGTTCTCTCAAGTAAAAGTTTACACACTCGCACAGAAAACTCTCGCCTTGTGTTTAGACTTTCTCTCGTTTGATCAGACAAGCGTTGAACTGGTTTATTTCAGTTGGCAATGACTAAAAAAAAATCCAAACACACTCTTCTTTCAACAGTTTTTCTACCTTGTAAACGTTCTACATTATTCTTGATATGGCCAGTCTTAAAACCTGAAATGCCATGAGGACACTGTCGGCTGAATGGAAAAATTGTAAAGGTTGAAGAGGTGCCCGCATTAAAGGCTGTGTGGGCATTTGAGACTCCCCAACCACCTCGGCCCCAGACGTACAAAGACAAAGATCCCTCACATAGCCTTAACAGACAGTTGGCCAAGTGCTTTCAGTGAGCACCTATTAAGGCCGGCATGGTACACAAGGGGGTGGGTGGCCAGCACCGCGCCCGACCGCCTTTGTCTCAACAGTGGTGATGTTTACACAACGCACCAGGTACTCGTTTGAGGTCGAGTCGACCTCCACACATACACACACTTACACACATACACACTTACACACAATCCCCAACCATCGCTGCTGGAAAGCACTCCAATGCAAGTTAAAATCTGCGAATTTTACAATGTAAATTGCACAAGGGTATGAAAATAACCCAATTTAACAGCAAATAATGAAGGTAGTAATGCTCACATTGTTCATATTTGATAGTATGAATAAACAGCCCTAATTTTTTTTCATGGGCCACTTTAGCTTTGGGGCCTGGACAAATATGTATTTTGTTCCCTCTGTACTTGGTGCCACTCCTGCTGCACAGTGTTTCGATTTAACGTGGCGACCTTACCCCCTACCCCCACCACCATTGCCTCTGTTTCAGAGGAACGATGATGAGGCTGTGCTGGACCGGGGCAAGACGAGCGCCATCCTCTTGACAAACTTCGAGAAGGAGGAGCTGGAAGGTGAGCAAAGGGCCACGTGTGCCCACTTTGTGGTCACGGTACAGTTTGGTCATTGAGAGCACTGGGTGACACGGTAGCCCAATCCAGCATGACAGTGGCTGTATGTACACGTATGTTCAACTTCCTTCGCACCGTATATAGCCAACCGTGTTATTCGGAGGTGTGCCGCATGTAGAATTTAGATTTTTTTTTTAACAATCACCCCTAAAGGAAAGTAGGTCAAGTTGATACCTGATCAAGATTTTAACGCGCAATTTACAACTGTGAGCCTTGCACTCCAACCGTCCGGGCCAAGCAGCTGGGATAAGTTAACTCTTGTGCCAGGATATATATTTTTAATTTAGATAAAACAAAAACTAAATAAGAGAGCCTCAGTTTGTTTTAAGGAAGCAGCAGCTCACCCGTCGATTTTTTTAACCCGGATTGTAAGCATGAGTCTGCTTTTTTTACCTTTGTGTTTCCCCTTAACGGCCCCAGATGTAAAATTTTCATTCTTCCGTCCGGTTCTTTTCTGCACGCAACAATGGCTATGGCTACAGGGATAGCTGTAGAATCGTGGTTTGCACAGCAGTGACTTTAGCTTGGCCCCTTGAGGGCAGGATTTTGGTGTAATCTTCGCTGCAAGATTTCTGGCATCATACAGTTAAGTATTAATACACCACTCAAGCCCATGTATTTACATGTAATTCTTCCCTCTCCCAGTGATGTGAGGTATTCTTCTATTCATGATATGTTCCAGTTGTTGTGCCTCAGAGGTGGCAATCCCAGCTGAAAACTGCCATCTGTCTCAAAAACCCTGTTGCTGTTTTACAGCACGCGGTAGGTGCATCCGCGAGCTCTAATAATCCAAAATGCTGTATATTCCAAATGCTTTAAAAATGTGTTTTCATTAAAAAAAATTCGTCAAATATTGTTTCTTCCTGTTTTGGATTATTATTAGACAGACAAGACTTAGCACAGCTACTCAAATGCATACACTTGACGAATGCTTGCCAAACAGGTCGATGTTAGAAATGCCATGACGTTTGTGAAGAGTCAAAAAAACTCGACCAACCAGTCGCAAGACCTGCTTGCAATATAATAAGGCTTGTTACTTTTGAACACTGACTGGGACAAAAAATAATCTTTTGTATTTCTAGTGATGTTATAGTGCCCTCCCGTTAACAACATTCACTGCTATTGCTAAGCACCCTGGAAACCACAGCCTATTTTACGTCACAAACATTTTTCCCAAGCTCACAGTGCGGCCTGTATAGCTCTAAGGGCAGGGTTAGAGTTGGTGATCGTCACATCCATTTTTTCTCCCATCCCCTCTCACCTCCATCCCCCTTTTACCCCTCCATCAGTCCCTGTGGGAGCCAGACCCTGCCACAGCCCATTGACAACCCTTCACAGTGCTGCGTATAAAACCATGGAAGTGGTTAGGTCTCAGATGCAGGGCAGGGGTCAGCATCTCCGTCAACGGAGGAGCTCTGCCGATGCGTTCACTTTCCATGACTTTCCAGAGTTGTCCATTCAAGTTTCAATATTTATAGTCCGCACAGAGAATGAACAGGGCCAGCCAAGGGCACTAGCGTGAACTTTCCCAATGCTTACCGCATTAAGGATATATACATTTGTGCTGAATCATTGTTGTCACATTCCTTCTGAGCCTCCCCCTCTGCCACAGCCACCACTGCACCCCCAAAAGAATGGCGGCTCACTATGGCGGGAGCGAACCGCAATATATTTTTTATTTTTTCGCTTATTCATTCCGCGGCCAGGAAAAATGTATTAGAAGTCGCTGACATGAAACGTCTTGTTAAAATTAAAGTTGTCACTCTTTGTGAATGACGGAAGGCTGAATTGTGTCTAGTGTTGGTTGCACGAGCTGTTTAATCTCCTTGTTGCGGTATTGGACTTGTTAAAATGTGTGTGTGTTGCGAATTACTTCTCGAGTAATTATTTTACCGACTTGATTTGTTTGTTTACTTGGAACCAGTAATGTAGTTGTTCGCGCACAATTCCAGCAACTCAAGTTGAATTCCTGGCGATACACAATCATGGTTGAGTTGTTGCTCTGGAGATTGGGAGATTGTTGACCAATGTTTCGGTCGCTGTGTTGATGATGGCATTAAAAAAAAAATCTACCGTTTTTTTAACGTGCCAATATTGCTCTCAATAATGTAGGCATCGGTGCACATAACTGCACCTCCGATTAGCACGGTTGTCTATGTATGGTGCGAAAGAAGTTCAACATACATATATTATAGCGGGAACGGTACAGGGGCATAAAGCAACAGGAATGAACAAAAATTAACCTGTCACAACCTCCGTGGCTAACACAGGCATTAGTCGTGATTTCTCACTTAACAGAGTGGGCCATGTAAAGGCTGACACCCGCCACTCCACAAGAACGGTGACCAAACCTAGGGCCAGTTAGAGCAACAATGTTGGCTAAAATTGCAATGACAGTTGTTATTTATTCACCATTACAAAAAAAAATCCCGTGTATTCGTAGTCGTGTCACCGTGCACATTTTTCCCCCTTGTTAACGAAACTTGCAGACACTATTGAGCACCGTAGAAACCACAGCTTATATTTTATTTTGCAAACACAGATGGGCCTGTACAGCGCCATGGGCAGCATTCAGAGTGGCGATCCCTAGAGTTGGGACACAACTTTTCCGGAACCTGCGAACCAATGTCAACCCTCAAAAGCTTTTGTGGACCATGGTGTACCAACAACATATGTTTCAAAGCTAAATCTGCTTGTACTGTAAAATCTTAATAAAAAAAGGTATGACAATAATTAATTCCTTTTTTATTATCTAATTTTTGTGTTTTGTGAAAAACAATCGGAGTGCCTGCAACATATTCTTTGAGTCTTTCGGTAAAGTCACGTAGATAGGTTCGCAGAAAATAACAAAAAATAACAAAAAACCATGACATTTCGACCGCAACACAAGCGTTCGTCATCAGGAAGAAAAAAAGAGGGGGACAGCTGATGAGGCAGACTGTTTTAAATGTTTAAAATGGGTGTAGCCCAAGGGTCATAAACGAAGATGTTAATGTGAGATATGAGCATGTTAATGTGAGAGATGAGCATGTTAATGTGAGAGATGAGCGTGTTAATGTGAGAGATGAGCATGTTAATGTGAGAGATGAGCATGTTAATGTGAGAGATGAGCATGTTAATGTGAGAGATGAGCATGTTAATGTGAGAGATGAGCATGTTAATGTGAGAGATGAGCATGTTAATGTGAGATATGAGCATGTTAATGTGAGAGATGAGCATGTTAATGCGAGAGATGAGCATGTTAATGGGAGAGATTAACATGTTAATGTGAGATGAGCATGTTAATGTGAGAGATGAGCATGTTAATGTGAGAGATGAGCATGTTAATGTGAGAGATGAGCATGTTAATGTGAAAGATGAGCATGTTAATGTGAGAGATGAGCATGTTAATGTGAGAGATGAGCATGTTAATGTGAGAGATGAGCATGTTAATGTGAGAGATGAGCATGTTAATGTGAGAGATGAGCATGTTCATGTGAGAGATGAGCATGTTAATGTGAGAGATGAGCATGTTAATGTGAGAGATGAGAGCAGCAACATCGAGCTCGGTGAGCGAGGTGGCCGTGTTAGTGTGGGAAATTTAACCTGTTAATGAAAAATCAGAGAGACCAAAATAACAACCAACATCGGAAGGTGGTAGGATGGGAACATCACAGCCAGTTATCACTTAAACTGGTTGATAACGTCCTTTCAATGATTGCTCAGTTTGTACCCATCTTCTCAATTTAAGTTGTGTCTGTATATGTGGATGGTTTCAGGAACAAATCTTTGATAGCCAGTGGGTTTGCAAAGTACCTTCGTCTTAGATAAATCAATTTCGTGTGAGCCCACCGCATTAAAACAATGATCAGCCACGGCCGAGGTATTGGTCCTACCGTGTTTTCAGATCTGCCTTATGTTCACGAACACGGTCCCAGATATGTCGCTTAGGTTCCCCAATGTAACTGCCTGCAACAGTTTCGCAGACCATGGGTTTGCGAACCCACTGCATTACATATTTATCCAGAAATCGTTGTGGACCTCAAGTTTGCCGGTGACAATTGCTTCCAGAAGCTGGCCTGAAGCCTCCTCTATGCCACCTCAGCCCTAAAATAACTTGAAAGGTGCGTCAGCGCATCCCTGGCACTGGGAAGACAAAGGCGGCTAGCCGCGGAACTCTCCACACCCCCACCTCGCGTGCTGTGCCAGCCTTTAATCAGACTCATAAAAATGTATTACTTTAATATTTGTTTTTATAATTTGTGACTTGCTTACCTTTTTCACAATTGTTCACTCCTATAGTTTTTTTGTATTGTTTGCCATTGTAACTTGTTGACCCCCGCCCATACTGGACATCTGTGTTTCATCGCAGATTCCTCCAGTCTAAATAAAGACCCTGATTCTTCTGATTCTAATAGGCATTCGCCTAACCACACTTGCCCCTTGTCGGTCCTGCTTGCAGCTCACCGCACGGTGTACATTGGCCTACACGTGCCCTCGGGCCGCAGGAGCCATCGCCGTCACCGCCACCGCGGAGGCCACCGTCACCATCACCGTCGCCGGGTCCGTGACAAAGAGGCCAACGCAGACGACTCGGAGTCTGGATGCCAAGGTAGGCACAGCCCTTTATTCAGAATTATGGAGAAATGCGGAGTCTTCCCATAGAAACCCACACCGATATTGGGGCTAAGCTTCCACGCTTGAGAGGCAGCGCCTCAAACACCAGGGGCTTGCAACGTCATCACCATATCCATTATCAGCAATGATCTATCCACTGCTGGGTGAAAGCCTCCTGAAGCCATCACGAGCTCTCTTGGTACTGCGGTGTAACAATCCACCCACCACCTGGACACGTGCTGATTTCATCGCTCCATCTCCATGAAAGATGTCATGTCGGTCTGAACCACTGGCCTTCAAACCTTCTAGCAACGTGTCCTGCCAAATCCCATTTACTTTCCTTAACAGTTCAAAAGATGTCTCTAACTTGCTTATGTTTTCTCATACATGTGTTCCTTTTTATATCCGTCAGTGTAATTCCAAGCATGCGCCTTCTCCTTGCTTATTTGTTCTTTTATTTTGTTCATGTCCACGCATCTGATCCAGGTAATATTGTACTTGTGAGAAACATTGTTCTTGAATCGCAATGCTGCATTGCTTTCAATATCAAGTGAAACTGAAATTGGGCAGTGGAGCGAAATGGATGTGTGCAGAAATTGCTTCAGATGTGAATCACAGCTCCGGGGCAATGACCCAAGCCAAACGGGAACAGACGCCAGAGTCTTTGTTGCTCCGAGCAGCTTGGACGTACAACATTTACATTCGGTTGGCGTCGCAAAACGCCTGGGGGCATCCTGGAGAGTTCCACTGCCCCACTTTGCTTTCCAGTGTCCTCTCTCACCCTGCTGCATTGCACGTGGCGAGTTTACGGTCTCGTCTAGCGGCAGCAAGCGCCGGTCGCAGAGTCCCAGCCACTTTTCCACGAAACAAGATGCCATCACCGGTTCGCTGACGCCGCCACCGCATTGGGAATGTGGAGTTTCGTGCGGGGAGAGGAATCTCAGCCACGCCGTTCACGTAGACTAAGTTGGCAGCTGTTGGCCAAGATGGTAGCAGCTGTGACATAGCCGGCGCTTCACAGCCACGCGTTCGCTCGTGAGCACGCCCAGCAACAGGGACTTCCATCCAGAATAGCACGCGCACAGACACGCCCTTGTGAGTGTACACACCCGCATGTACACTCACGCGCGTGTGTACACTTGAACTGAGATGAGCCATGCACTGTATTAATACGTAAAGTGAATATCTTACATTTGTGTGCAGTCCGAGCCGAACGCCCGTCATGAATAACCTGTAAATCACAGCTCGCTTTGACATTTATATTAAGTGCCTACGGTGATGTGTGGGAACAGAGACTTAAACTGTCGCAGCTATATGGGGTATACTTTTGTAGGGACATGGAGAATGTCATTGTGGGGTGCCGGCCCGGGAGGGCCGCGGCGTGCGATGTACTTACGTCGCGGACAGCACCGTGTGTGTTGCTGAGTAAGGCCGGCTGTAGCAGAGCACGGCGTGCGATGCACCATCATCGCGTACACCCCGTAGGTGGGTGTAGTACCAGCCCTAGCGGGGCTTGGTGAGCGCTGGGATAGCTTCGGCACCACGCATGGCGTGCGGTGCTGGCTCCCACAGGGGGGAGCGAGAGAGTGTCAGCCCAGGGACAGGGTTGCCCCGGACCATGGCACTCTGGTTGACCCTCGAGGCACCTGATCCGGCGTGTCCACAGAGAGGCCCTCAGGTGGGGGGGGGGGGCTGGAAGGTGATCACGTGTCCTGGGAGGGATCGAGAGGGAGCTGGAACGCTCGCGAAGGTGGGCGGGGCCGAGGGAGGAGCCGGCCCCGACCCGGGAGGATATAAGGTGGGTCCCTGAGAGGGACCGGGGTCGCTTCGTTCTGCAAGCTGGAAGCTCCAAATCCTACGTCTGAAGAGGCACCAACACGTGGCCGGGTCCCGCGTGAGGGTCCGGTCCATCGTCGCTGTAACTCCTGTGTGTAGTGGAGTTAGCCGAGTGGTCACCACCCTAGGCTGTATCTGGTAAAGGGGCAGTTACCCCTTTTGTATATACGTGTTGTGAATAAATGTGTTGCCTCTAAAGAACAACATCTGCGACTCAGTTGGACTCACTACACTTTGAATAGTACTGTATACATGATACAGTGCCCTTTCAGATTTTTGAGATGAGATGTGATGTAAAACGATCTGAGACGCCTCAGGGTATCTGGCAGCGCTATATTAAAACATAATTATCATTGTTATTATTTTGATATTGCATTTAACGTGTTGAGCACACTGCGTCCGCGAACCCATCAACGTGAGTTTGATTCCTCGCCATGGCTAACATGAGTGATGAGCGATATGTGAACCGGTCCTGGCCCCCATCTTTACCCCGCCGCACTGACCCAGCGTGGTGAAGTATGGTCAAAACCATCCTCACTAACCCAGCATGGGGCAGCAATTATAGCATATACAGTGTACCTATTTATTCATATAATATTTATGCAAAGCATGTTTGGTATTCAGCATGTGTATACACATAAATGTACGGATTGCTTTTGTATGCATAATTCCATACGGGTGTTTAGTTTAGGTTGACCTTTAGGCTGGTCATTAAGATTTCACAGGGAGCATTACTGGAGTGACTCGGAGCCACGAGGGCACGTCACGCTGCCCTTTAGCGCAGTCGCTGTGGCTCCACGTGCCGGCTGTCAGAAGCTTGGGAAACCGTGAGAACAAATCCTCCTCCGCGCTAAGACCCCTCGCGTCAGGATCGCATGCGGTCACGCTCGCAAATCTTGCCCCGGACACGGGGGGCAGTGCGCGTCGGTCGCACGAGGGGTACACTCGTTAACATTAATCAAAAGCAAATTCCCTCAACTATTTAAAAAATATACATTATCCCCCCCCCCCCCGTGTCCATGGCAACGTGCAAACGTAGGGGCATTCTGAGCTCAATGTGTTGCTGCGTTCGAGGTCGCCCTGCCACACCATGTAATGCCGCTCTGCTTGAGGGTAGCTCTTTTCTCTATTTGTTGATCTCGGTAAATCTCCATTCCCCTCGGCTCTGGCGTATCAATGAACGAGTGTCTCGGGCAGCCTCGCAGCATTGGGGGGGGAGTGGCTGGAGGGGTTGGCCCTTCTCACCCGCCCCCCACCTCTGCCAAAGGCTCAGCCCCCCCCCCCCCATTCTAAATTGTTGAAGTGGGAATGGACACGATACCAAGCGCACAACCAAAACTAAGCCATGGAAGTTGCAGCCTTTCCACATACATGGGGGTGGGGGGGGTGATAGCTAGAGCAGAATGCACGACAGACAAAAGTAGATCTCATCGTGAGCATTCTGTTCCGCATTGATATTTGTTTAAAGTTTGTCCAACATTGTCTGTGCCGTGCCCCTCCTTGAGTTGTTTTGTATGCTTCCCTTTCAAACAAGGTCATGCTGCAAGGCCGGTCTATGGGGGGGGGGGGGGACGCTGGAGGGGGGGACGTCATGAGCAGCATTCCCCCCACGGTTTATCGCGGGGGTTTGCCGGCTTTGTTTTCTGCCGGCTTTGTTTTCTCCCGCCCAGACGGCGGTGTTGCCGGGTGGCCTGACGTGCGGAGAAAGCCAAAGTAATCCCACGAGGGCCCACGCGAGCTCTAAATATATGCAGCGCCACTCCGTGCCAGCCGGCAGCGGGCACCAGGCCCACGCTTTTTAAAAGGAGCGCCGTGAATAATTTGTGACGACTCCGCGACGCATTGACAGCCGTCCCGCTTGACCGTGGCAGATAATAATCTAAGCGATCCACCTTCCAGGAAAGTGCCTTGAGGATCTAAAAATTGCAACTGCGCGAGCAAGGCAGTGTCAGTTAGTTACCATTGTATCTTCATTTATGTTTCATTGTGCTCGGTCGCGTAGCGTGGTTGGCATCGGCCCTGGTGCAAGGAATGAAATGGGACTTCAATTTCCCTCCGTACTTTGTAGTGCGGTGCCTGGGCTCATCTGCTCCAATGCAGTTGCACACCCTGCACACTCGATAGCTAAGCCACTGGTTGTGATTTTTTTTTATTTACCTCTCATGTTTGGTAGTGGTGGCAGGAGTGGCCGTGTGCATTCAGGGGGTTACACTTTGAGCTGGTGCTTGCGCAGAGAGCGCGTGGAGCGGAGGACGATCGCGTTATTCTTGCGACCTCCGAGTGGGTGGAGACGCGCGTGTGTGCGCACAGGTGGCTTCGCTTGGGGTTGATTGATGAACGCATTCGTCGCGCGAGCACGCGCAGACCGGCCCACTTTTGCTGCAAAAAACAATGGCGTGGTACCAAAAAAATGGCTGTGCAAAAAATATTGTTTGATATTCAATTTGGCACACCGAGAACACTAATGACGACGCATCGCTCCCGCACAACACCCTGGGATTCACTTCCCTTTGCCACCTGCAGAAAACCTCTTTATTGCTTTGTGGAACAGAATTCCGTGTAACGCTATTATTTTATCCAGACTGGTCTCCCTGCATGCTATTTAGGATAGTCCTACTTGGTATATTTGCCAAATTTCACTGATGTCATCGCCATTATCATAATCATCCATATTGGATGAAGCCTTCCTCCAGCTGTCCTCATCCTTCATGGTCACGTGATGTAATAATCAATCCAGCTCCTGCTAATATCGATCCGTTTTTGTGGTTAGCGTACTCTCTGGCATGTTCCCTCCTTTGGCTGTCACTCCCTCGTGTGTCTCCCACCACCGCCATCATCATCATCATCACCTCTTTTAGTGATGTATTCTGCTCAAGCACTCTGACTTTTCTTTACAGTCAATGTGATCTCTCAAGCTTACGTACATTCGCTAATCCATGTTTTCTTCTTGCTATCTCTCAGTAGCATATCTCTAACTTGATAATGAAAAGCTAAAATTCCAATGTGACTCAAGTAGAACATTTTTTATTGGTGTACATTGCCTGCTATTTTGCACGGATCAGAAAATATTGACACGGAAAATAACCCTAACCCTACTCATAACTAAATCTGAAAAGTCCACAGAAGAGACTTGGAGAGGCACATGCTTGGAATTTAAACGCGAGACACAGAGAGAGAGGTCCTTAACATAGGGACGTGTAAATATTTGGCAGCCTTTTGACCCTGTAGTAAAGTGCTCTCGTTCCCCCAAAGGTTGTGTGATATGGGAGTATGGGGACACGAACTCCGTGTGTCTCCCAACTGCGGCGGGGTGGGAAAGCAGCAAAAATTGTGCTGTTAATATTATTTTGTCTTTTTACCCAGGAAACTTGAGACATATTTTTCAGGAAGGTCCAGCCAACTGTTTGCAATAGGAGGAAATGTTGCTATGTATAATCCTGGTTGAGTAATTTACAAGTAATATTTCCGCATTGGAATATTTAGACAATGGCAGTAATATTGCCTGTTTTTTTTAGCTGTGGGAGGAAACTCAAGAATCCATGAAAAACAGGAAGAGAACATACAAACTCCCTACTATAGAAAGGCACCCAAGTTGGGAAATCGAACCCAGGCTCTTCTTGCTGTGAGGCACAGTGGTAACACTTGTGCCTCCCAATGAACACAGGGGCTCGAGATTTTTGAGGCACCCATAAAAATATATCTACACGCTGCTTTTTAGTGGATGAAACGCAATACCGCATTCCTATGATAAAGCCTGCGGGTAATTTGGTTATTATAATCATAGTATGAGTATGTGTGTTCAATATTTAAAATAGTTTAATTTCTTTCAGCTTTGACATTTTCGTACATCGCATATAAAAAACTGGAATTGACGTGACAGTGGATCATTTGGCATCGAGCATCGGTAGCAGTAAAACAGTCAAGGGAAGGAATTAAGTAGAGAGAGGAGGGAGGGGGGCTCGCCAAACTAGAGCAGCCCCGGGGCTCCCCTCAAATCTCATCCAGCGCTGGTCGCGGCGCGAGGCGCGTGGCGCTAATTACACTGGTCTACAGCCAAAATGCTTCCGAAATAAATGTAGTCCAACTTTACTTATTCTGGGTCACTGAGAATGAAAATTATGCTTAAGATTGTTGATTGGCTATAGTTTTCAAGATATGCTACCGGGTCAGTATGAACGATAACACAAACATAGCAGATAACTTCTGCTATGCAGATAACTTCTGCTATACTCTTTGGTTCTATTCAGTAAAGTCACGTAGGTAAAAATAAAATAACAAAAAATCACGACGTTTCGGCCACAACACAAGTGGCCTTCATCAGGTGAAGGGACTGGACTGTCCAGAGGACAGCGTTGGAGTGAAGACAGCAAGCCCAGGTCGCGTCCTTTAAGCTGTGTGGGAGAAAACAAAAAAAAACCCTTGACAAAGGAATTAGCATAAAGTGATGTACTGGACCGGCACAGTGGGGGGGGAAGTTTACATAATGTTGGTGTGAAGGGAAATAAGCTGCTGTGAAAGTTTGGGATACCACTACTTGAATAAATATACTGTACCATTGAAAATTAGTTTAATGTTTGGTTTGATTTAGAACATCTTTCCAATGATTGCTTAATTTGAAACCATCCTCTCGGTTGAAATTGTGTCTGTGTTTGTAAATCTGAATTGCCTCGTGAACAAATCTCTGATAAAATCCCGTGGGTTTGCAGAGAACCTTGGTATCGGAGAAAACTATATCGTGATCACCCACAGCGTTGTAATGGTGCAGAATGCCCCAGTGAGCCATCAGGTCTCCTCTCAAACAGAGAACATCCAAATTAAGCAATCATTGGAAAGATGTTCTAAATCAAACCAAACATTAAACTAATTTTCAATGGTACAGTATATTTATTAAAGTAGTGGTATCCCAAACTTTCACAGCAGCTTATTTCCCTTCACACCAACATTATGTAAACTTCCCCCCCCCCCACCGTGCCGGTCCAGTACATCATTTTGTGCTAATTCCTTTGTCAAGGGTTTTTTTTGTTTCCTCCCACACAGCTTAAAGGACGCGATCTGGGCTTGCTGTCTTCACTCCAACGCTGTTCTCTGGACAGTCCAGTCCCTTCACCTAATGAAGGCCACTTGTGTTGTGGCCGAAACGTCGTGATGTTTTGTTATTTTATTTTTACCTACGTGACTTTACCGAATAGAACCAAAGAGTATGGATCCTTGCAGTCACGAAAGCTTCAAATCTAGAACTTCTGCTATGTTTGCGATGAAGTAACTTTTGTATCACAACAGCGCAGTATAACCACTATGGTTAAGAAAGCATATCACCTTTATTTTGTCTGCAAAATTGGAGATCAGGACGATGTGGGCCCCACACACATGCTGCGACACTTGTGAAACAAATCTTCGCCAATGGTTGAACAGGAAAAGTAAATCTTTGCCTTTTGCAGTGCCAATGATTTGGAGAGAGCCAACATATCATATCAGCAATTGTTACTTCTGCATGGCACCTCCAGTTGGGAAAGGTGTGTCAAAGAAGAAAAAGTGGACTGTGCATTATCCAAACATTCCATCAGCTATACGCCCAGTACCCCACGGAGAAGGACTGCCGGTTCCTGATGCACCAGAATCATTCTCACTTTAGTCAGACAAGGAAGAGGAATGAACTTCTGGTCCTGAACCATCACGGTCACATGACCCAGATTTTCTCCCATCCTCCCCCTCTGAACCACACCTCATAACACAAGGTGAACTGAAAGACCTTGTCAGGGATTTGGAACTACCCAAGAGTAAGGCAGAGCTGTTGGGCTCCAGACTGCAGCAGTGGAATCTTCTGGCAGGTGATGTGAGGGTTTCCATGTTCTGTGACTGTCAAAAGGATCTTGTCCCATTCTTCTTCATGGAAGGTGATCTTGTAGCCTGCAACAAGATCAATGGTGTGATGGCATCCCTCAACATCGTTCATGAACCAGATGAGTGGAGATTGTTCATTGATTCATCGAAGATTAGTCTTAAAGCTGTTTAGCTGCATAATGGAAATGTTTTGCCATCAAGTCCAGTTGGTCATGCAGTCCATATGAAGGAAACCTATGACAACATGAACCAACTTTTGAGGTACATAAACTATGACCAACATCAGTGGCAGCTTTGTAGCGATTCGAAGATTGTTGCCTCTTTTGCTTGGTCTGCAGACTAGATACACAAAGTTTTCTCTGCGAATGGGATAGTCGTGCGAGAGATTCCCACTAGATCAAGATAGATTGACCACTCCAACAGTCATTGGAGCCTGGGAGGAAAAGTGTTCAGCATCCACCACTTGTTAAATCAAGGAAGATTGTGTTACCACCCTTCCACATCAAGCCGAGTCTGATGAAGAAGTTTGTCAAAGCAATGGACAAAACACAAGCGGCTTTCAAGTACCTCCGTGGAAAATTTCCAAGGTTAAGTGAAGCTAAGATAAAGGAAGGTGTCTCTGTTGGTCCTCAGATTCGGGAACTTCTTCGAGATGATTCATTTGACAGTGCACTGCGTGGCAAGCAAAAGACGGCATGGAAAGCCCTCCAGTTAGTGGCAACACATTTTCTCAGAAACAACAAGGCAGACAACTACAGGGAGTTGGTGGAAAACCTCCTCAAGGCATACAAAAGCCTTGGTTGCAACATGTCACTAAAGATAAAAAATGTTGCACTCTCATCTAGATTATTTCCCACATAACTGTGGAGCAGTGCGCGATGAGCATGGCGAGCGACTTCACCAGGACATTGCAACAATGGAGAAACGCTATCAGGGCAAATGGAGCCCATCAATGCTTGCAGACTATTGCTGGACAGTGACAGGAGATGCTCCATTGAATGAATACAAGAGACAAGCCGAGACGTAGACACTGAATAAGGACTAAACTATGTACTTGTATATAATAATAATAGTTTTTTTTGCCTTTTGTTTTATAATACATTTTATCTATATAGACCCTTTTGTAGATTTAAAAGTGTTACATGAACAGGACAGGTGACATGTTATCATGTAAAGCAACCATAAACACATGAAAAGACCTAGGTTTACAATTTATGAGTAAAACTCTACTATTTACACAATATACATAGACGTAAAATGTAAAAAGCTTAAATATCTTGGGAACAGTAGCCCATCAGTTATTTTAATTGTCATTTGAATTCAGCACATCAAAATCCATAATACACAGCACATTTAATCTCTGAAGCAGACGACGTCTAAAAAAATTGCACCGCTTGCGTGCACAGACACGCCGTCGCAGCGCGTGCAGTTCATCCTGGGCGTGGAGGATGACGACGAGGAGCATGTGTCCCACGACCTCTTCACGGAGATGGACGAGTTGTGCATGCGCGACGGCGAGGAGTGCGAGTGGAGGGAAACGGCGAGGTAAGGCACGCACGCGGCGGAGGGTCGCGCGTTTGCGTTTAAAAAATATATACGTCACGAAAAGGAGGAATTTACATTTAGAATATTCGCCGCTAGTTGTCTATCGCTCTGTAGCAGGAAATGCTGGCTCCGTGCTCTGACCTCTGAACCCCTCGGCCACCACTCCACTTGCTCGTCTCTTCACCTGCACCTGTGTCCCTGCAGTTGTTACCGACAGAGCCCACATCGTTGTAATCGTCACTTTTAATTCCGCTTCCCGTGCGGACGAGTTGCACCCCGCCGCCCACTTTGGTTAACGTCTGCTCCTCAAACAGGACTGGTCGAAGACGTGACGTTGATTACGTACGTTTACAGGATACTTGGTGTCCGCGGGGGGCCCAGGGAGAGACCCCCCCCCCCTCCCAAATTTTGCTGGGTCACACAGCGGCGATGGTCTGTTTGGTGCAGAAGCATATACTCCCCCACACCACCACCCCCCCCCCCCGTGTTTGACGTGCTACAGGTGGCTGAAGTTTGAGGAGGATGTGGAGGATGGTGGAGAGCGGTGGAGCAAGCCGTACGTGGCGACGCTGTCTCTGCACAGCCTCTTCGAGCTGCGCAGCTGCATCATGAACGGCACCGTGATGCTCGATATGAAGGCCACCACGCTGGAGGAGATCGCTGGTGAGGAAGGTCAAGGGGTTGAGGGTTTGGGTTAACGGGGGCTGGGTGAGGGCGGCTGCGAGGTGTCAGCTACCGGATGTCGTGGGAGTTATGGGGTATTTTTCTTACCATACTTCACCTCGCTGGTTAATGCAGGTCGGTGAAGGTGGGTAGCATGAACGTTGGAGCTTCGTGTCGTACAATAGGTTTTACTGCACTGCACCCTACTGTCCATAACGTAGCTCTGCAGCAGCCTACAACACCTGTTGTGTGCATAGCGGTTGCCCCTTTAAACACTATCCAGGCTCGTTCCCGCTTCCGAGATCTTGCAAGATCGTGCACATTATGGGTGGTTTGGCAATTTACTTAGAATTTAAATGCAGAATTTGGACCCAGTATAATATGACTGCATGATAACGAATCAACTCGCGTAAAAGTCCAGTTGCAAAGTGACTCGGCTCGGTGTTGCTTATCCCGTAATCTCAACCCTGGTGCTAGTGTGTATTGTTATGGTTGTATTTATTTAGTGTAAGGGTGTTCCCTGTGTTAAGGTACAGCTCGACTTGGCTTGCGTTGTTATCGGGCCTTCTGATTCCGTAGCTTGTGGGGCATGCGAGGAGGAGGGCTGGGAAACGGCGTTAGCTCATTGGCCGTCTGTCACTGCCTCTGTCAGCAGTGTAGGTTTCCTGCTCTATCGATAGTGCGGTTCGTCTATAAATAATGCACCCTTTGTGGTGAACTGAAAAATTGTGCGAGTTGTTGAAAATGCCTTTATTAACATGAACATGTGTGTGTGCGTGCATGTGTAATGGAGAACATGGTGCACACGTATGACTCTTTTTGTCAATCCACTGCTGGATAATGGCCTCCACACACCTGTACGGGTCGTGAGGGTTGCTTGATCGTAATTTACCACGCTGGCCAGTGCGGTTTGGTTAAGGCCTCGAGTATTAGGCATGGTATCATAGAAGTACAGTACAACCGTGTATTTTCTGCATTGCCATCTGTTGCCCACCTCGTTGACCCGCAAGCCCTATGGCAACCTGTTTGTGCACAGAGCAGTCGCCCATCCCATCGAAGCGCCGTCCCCGCTCGATCCTGCTCAGCATCCGAGATCTGACGAGATCTGGGCCCATTCCAGATAGTTTGGTCAAAGGCGAAAAGTAGGGTCATGAGACATTTAAGAACTACCCGTTTAGGTTACGGCACGCTTAATCGGATTACTCGCCTGACCGATTAGGTTCTTAAGTCTCCAACATTTGGTGGGTGATGTCTACTTTATGCCAACTGCAAAGGCCTACCACAACGAATTTCAAAGCAAGTGTGCATGCAGGCAGCCTATTTTGAATGTGCACTTGTGCACGTGAAACGTAAAAAGAAAACAACATCAAAAGAATGGGAGAAAAAAAAACCGATTTCACAAAGCGTACCAAATGGTGTGCGACCCCGTCATGTGTGCCGTTTCCAGGACGGCACTGTAAATGAGATGTCACGCTTCGGGATTGTATCTTGGCAAAATATTTGAAATCGATAAGTAAGTAAGCGAAGGGGGGGGGGATGCATTGGCCCAAGGTGACCCCAGACGCGCTCACGGAGTAGGGGTGAATGAACTCGAGGTTCATGTCAACTCAGGTTTATTTATTTAACCAAGTGAGAACTCGGGAGACCAGAATCCTCTCTTTGCGCGCAGGAGTTGGCTGTGTGCTTCGCGGGGTAACGAGTTACACGGTTGTTGATTGCGCTTCAACAATCGGCCACCGTTCCGCCGTGAAATTCACGGTTGTGTCGACACCATTTATCTTCATGATGTGAAGCGGAATTTATTTTGACTCAAATCTCCTGGAAAACTTAAAGGAAACTCTATTCATGTTTTATTGATGATGTTGATGATGGTAATAATACAAATTCTGCTTGTTTTGAACACATTTTCCAGAATGTGCCCAGTATTGTCAGATGTCGGAAGCTCAGCTGAGTTGAGCCTGGATAGTGCTTGTATGGGCATCCACCGTGCATAAAATAAAATATATGCTGTGGCAGGGCGACGTGACCAGCAAATGACATGGCAGAAAAATATCTTGTTGCACGCAACTACGCACTGACATCTATGCTCAACACCTTCACCAACCCACAGTGATCCGCCCAAAACCCGCTTGGCTATAGGGAGGCCCTTCATCTAACAGTGGATTGACAAAAAGGCCGTGCGTGTTCTCTTTTCTGGTCATCTTTAATTATTTTTTTTGTCCAGTGTAAACGTTAGTCACGTACTTTGAAGTATCTACTGGTTCCAAATGTAGGATGAAAATGCCCGATTGCGTAAAAGATGTGTTCACATGCGGTTTATCAAGGGGTTCTTGATTTTTGCTGCAGTGGTAGTCCTTTGCCTTTATACCCCAATTCAGAGCTAAGTTTACAGCACCCCCTACACATGCCACGGAGTTGTGCTTTCCTGGGTTCAGTTCCACTCTTAAGGTTGTATCGATGGCTGAGCTTATCGCTCGTGGTAACACTGTAGGATGAAGCGTTATTATTATTATTCTGGTGCCACGGTAATTGTCGGTTCACGGGGATATTCTGCTGTGAAGAAATCGGCGTACGGCAGTTAAGCTGGTGGATGAGCCCGAGCTTACCGATTCATTCAAGTTCACTCGCTCACCGGCGTTCTTGTGCCTCCTTTTGACTCTTCTATCGCTACCATCGTGGTTACAGTTCCTGTGAAATATACTCATCAATCCCTCGGTCTACCAGATACTGACTGTTTCTTCTCAACCATCACCGCCACACCATAGGTCTAAACCGCTTCTCTTTCTGCTTCTCCGCCTCGCACTGCTTCCACTTTGGAATAACCCTGCCGTTTCTTTTTCCAATTTCTTATAACTTTGTGCAATTCAAGAAGTCCATTTACTCTTATCTATTACAACTTTAATGGTGCTTTTTGTTGATGGCTGGCTTGGGGTTTTGAGCCTTTGGACCTGTACTTGGCACACTGCAATAAAATAACAAATCCTTTTGGAGGGCAGATACCATAACCAATCTTTACCTGTGCATACTAAATAGCTTTATGATTATGGCAATATAGGCATTATTTTCCAAGGCCATTCGCAAGTCGAGCTAAAGTTCTTGTTTCAATTGGACTTTTATAATATTAATAAAATAGTGTTATTGTTAAACCGGTATGTATCTTTGATGGTATTTTGTGCAACCCACATCTGTCAAATGACAATATAAATGAATCTTATCTCATCCAATTAACTGTGTGTGCTTTAAGCGAAATAGTAATCTTAAAAGCAAACGCGCTCTTATCTTGTAGCTACACACCTAGGCTGTGTGTCCTAAGCTTTCCGACAAGACGTTTAAGCTTCGTGGATGAGAAAAATACTTTAAAGTTTCGGTCAATTTTTCCATTAGAACACTTGAGTGATGTCACAATGATATGTTGCAATATGCCAATGAAGTGGCATTGCTGGTGCTATCTCAATGAGCTTTAATATAACTTTGAAGTGTTTGATTCTCATTAATGAAGCTTCAGATTCATGTAAGACTGCTGCTCACTTGGTGACAAATTGCGGAAGCGTCATCCAATAGTGGATCACGAAAATGATGATGGATGATGATGATGATGTATGATAATGATTCGCTTTATCTAGGAAAGTCTCGCTGTTGTCTCAAGACTCTTCCTGAGGCGGTTCCTGCATTGGGATGCTTGGCCAATTCCATTCATGGGTGTTTTGTACATGAAAAGCCAACCAGAATTCGAGGGAGATAATACCACGCAGATGTATTCGAGAATCCATCGCTGCACTGCAATCTCCTGGCTACCTCCTGGCCACCTTTAACAGGCGCTCGCTAATAACATTTCCCCTGGCCAGGCAGTCGGTTGGCGCGCGAGCTCACGCTCGCCTGGCCGTGTCTCTACCTATCGCCTGCGGTGGCACCTTCGCGCCAGCCCCTGCGCGCCGTAAGAGCGGTCACCAAAGGCCACGTGTGTTCTAAACTAAACCTATTCTTTTGTTTTACCAGGCAAGGCCCACTGAGATATATATATAGCTCTTTTTCAGAAGCGACCTGGCCGCAATTGACGGTGCAGAGAAGTGGCTTATCATGTGGAAATTTACAGCAACCAAATACTCTCAAACGCACGTTGATTCTAAATGGCAATATGTGAAAAATCCACGTGACCACGGGGAGAACATGCAAACTCCAAATATACAGCAGGCATCGGGGTCGGGATCGAACGCAAAACCTCCTGCATACCAGGCGTGGGAGTTAACATCTCGCCACCTCGGCCGCGGGTGTGTGCGTCAGACTTGGTGCTCGACAGCCAGATCGCGTCGGGGCAGCTGGACGTGGCCGTGCGCGACCGCGTGCGCCAGGCGCTGCTCAAGCGCCACCACCACCAGAGCGAGAAGAAGCTGAGCCACCGCATCCCCATCGTACGCTCGCTCGCCGACATGGGCAAGAAGTACTCGGACACGCACCTGCTGGAGAAGAACGGTGAGACGGCGCACGCAGCCTCCCCCCCGCCCCCTCTTCCCCCCCCCCCCACCCAATGCCCACCTGCTGCCCCTGCCCTCCGCTGCTCTTGCCTACCACCCATTGCTCCCCTTGCCCAGTCGCTCCTGCCCTTCCCGAACACATGTTGCCGCACTTGCCCGCTCGCAGGCCCTGCCTACCAGGACGATTACTCTTTACACCCGTCTCGTTTTGGTTGACCCCGCTCCGTTGTCTTAATGCTACGTAGAGTGTAAGAGGACTATAATGTATTCTAGATTTAAAGCTTTCGTGACTGCTAGGATCCATACTCTTTGGTTTTGTTATTTTATTTTCACCTACGTGACTTTACCCAATAGAACCAAAGAGTATAGGACTATAATGTATTTGTAACAGGATGTTTAATATGTTTGTAACAGGATGTTTAATGTCTTTTTGCGACCCGATATTTTTATGCCTCCAGTTGCTGGGCCGCCAATAAGATGTTGGGAAAATTACTTTTTGTTGAATAAAAATCTATTTGTGCGATTTGAGTAACTTTTCGTGTTCCATAACGTATCGGGCACTGCCGGTAGGTATCGTATGCTGTGATTTATGCGTTGTTTGTTTGCAGTCGTGTACTGAGTTCTCCAGGAAAAAGATTCTGACTGTAACTGACTCTGATTGGATGGGATCTGTCACCTGCAGATGATTGAGAATATAATTGTTATCCTAATCGTGAAGTATAATGTGTTTTGGAAGGTCCTGCATATTCTTTATTTATCTCATGACTTTTACCAAAAAATGTTTTAATGAATAAGCGGCGCTTATATGAACAAAAAACATTACGTGACTTGTAATATCTATAATACCATAAAATAATGAAGAAAATCATGATGAAGATCATGTTGATTAAACAGTTAATGTAGCCTATTTTTTGTTAGAACTTTTGTGGTTGTAAAAAATATATATTGACTCTGTGCCTGTTGTCCTTAAATTCCAATTGCGAAGGTCATAAATGAAATGTGTTTTTGCTTGTGCTGCGCATTGGCAGAATGATTGGTTCACCCTGGGGGCGTGCGTATTGAGCAAGATGCGATTGGAAATGGACAGTGAACCCAGGATGGTGTTATTGATGACCTTTACAACGGAAGGAAAATTGATCCTAGAGAATTCAGTGGAGTAATTTTGTTGTAAACACGGCCAGTGAGAACAGCAGGGCGCCTGACCCTGTGTTAGTGATTCATCACCACGGAGACAGGCTTAATTGGTGCAAGTGTCATAACGCAACCCTTCAAAAACGATGAGGCTGTTGTTGCACCTCGAGTCCGTCAGAAGGAATCTTATTTGAAACAACTTGCATATCTTTGTTAGTCCGCTGTTGGATGAAGAACTGCCCATGCCTTGTCGGTCATGGGGTTATTTTTTTTAATACCAGACCATACTTGATCATTCTGCTCAGTATGGGTTAGTAAGGTATGTTAGGTAAGAGGCCCAGGACCAGTTCAATATCATTCACCACTGGTGTTAGCTGTGAGCATGAATATCATTTAGGGCGTTGAGTTTATAGTGCAGTGAGCTAACCACTGTGCCACCACTCCTCACTCCCCTGCTAGAGTACACGCAAATATATGTAATGGCCTGGCAGTGTGGATTCCCATGGCACTGTAAAGATCTTACTCATGAGATCTCCACTCATCTGTGTTGCAAGAAAGGTGCCTTTCTTATGTCCAAGGGAATATTCTTCTTTTTTCCAAAACACTGGTGTTGAAATTCCTTGGAGGAGTTTAGCATTCCGTTTGACTGATACTTCATCTTATTCTCCTCTGTTAGACAACACTTTTGTGTTGTAGCTGAGCAGACCTGGGGTCGATTCCAAATGTAAATGTGTCATCCGTAATGAATTGTAATCACAATGTGATTGTAAATTCAGTTGACAATGCTGTTATTTTTTTATCCCAATTGTGCTATCATCATGTCTTAAGATAAAATATCGGCATCAGAATCTGTATTTAGACTGGAGGAATCCGATGAGCTCTTATTCACATGTCCATTGTATATTCAAATATCCTTTCCGAATTCTCACAGATAGTGGCTGACAGACGTGGATATCACAGAGCTACCACTGGAATCCCTTCAAATGAACTATGATCCACATAGTAGAAAACAGCATTCCTACATTATTTTACATACCAACTTTTGTATGTAAAATAGTTATGCAATATTTAATTATCAGACCTGGAATTGAAGCCAAATTGAGTGCAGACCCAAATTGAATGGATGGGGTTTGTTCGTGCATTCATTGGTGACCGATCTGAGACCAATAAAAATATTATATAATAATTAATACAATGTATAAAGTGCATATATTTCGCGAATTGGACAATGTTGAACCTGGTTAAATCACGGACAGCTGTCTACATTCAAAACCCAGGATTCCCGTGGTGTCAGTTCAGTGCTCTGACCTCTGAGCCACCCACCCCTCCACACCATTGTTGTTGTCATTGCTGTTATAATTGACCCCAGATATATTGGCCGATACCACGCAGTTGGCACGGAGTCACTCATAACGACCTTCACAGAGGAAATGGAGGGTCGAGAATATCCCACATTGCACTTCATTAAAATAACGTGATTCGTAACAGATTTTAATAGAACTTAGGTGAATGTTTTCTCTCTCAGAGTGAGAAGATGAAGTTCCCTAGAGGCTTAGAGGTAATGAGTTATCCACTGCTCCTTTTTGTAGTAAAGCATTTTTAAATCCCTACTCACATGGCCTGGATTAAGTGCTTTATAAATACCAGTGTCAGAAATGTATGTTCCAGATTAAAGTGCCCTCAGTGCAATTCAACAGTGCAAGTTAACGGTCATGCAATTATGTAATTTTGATCTTTGTGGTGAAAGCCCAAGCGCATTATGGGCCGCAGCTGCCACAGACATATCTTTCGATATTTACAGCTGAAAAATGTCTTTACGGTTTGTTGATGTTTCACCAACAAAGCCCTCCAGTGACCTTACTTGAAAAAAATAAACCTCCACCATTTTATTTGCGTCGATGTAACGTGACAGTGCCTGTACAATCACCTTCCTAAACCTTATTCTCCTCTTCCGTTGTCCAACCCCTTGTTTCCCTCTCCCATGTGGCCCCTACCTTTCCCCTTCCACCCATTATTTCTCCGTCCTGTCCCCCGGCTCCCTACCCGGCTACTTCGCTTGTCCGCACCTTGCTCACCCCTTCTCCGCCTTCCCTGGTCTCACCCCTTCAAGGCCATTGGCTCGGCGCCCACCGGGCCTCCCTGACTTGCTCGCGTGCGAACCTGCTCCAGAAGCGCGCCTCGATCCCCAACAGCCCCCCCCCTACCCCTACCGATGGCACCGCCCCCACCGAGTACGCAACCGAGCGGCCCCGTAGCCTGGCCGCGGGCAAAGGCGGCGCGGCACCTTCCCGCGGGCGGGAACCCCCTGCCGGAGACCGCCATAGCTCGACGGCCGGAGCCGATTGTGGTGACGGTAGCGGCGGCGGCGATGACGAAAGTTGGGACGAGCCGCGCCGTAGCTCAACGGTGGTGCTCCCCGTTGTGCTAGAGGAGTTGCCGGCGCGCGCTGCGCTCCACCAGGGTTGTTGCAGCTGTGGCGGCCAGTGCCTGGCCAATCCCTATAGAGCCTGCATGGAGCAGAGCCGCCTGGCTGCCGGGGCCAATAGTAAGTGCATTTAAGTGTGTCGCAGAGGTACATGAATGATAAAAAAACGAATTGCTTTGCTTGAGTTAACAGAAATGCATGAGCATTATTTACTACTTGCATGGGTGTAGCTGCTACAGTCTAAGGAATAGACAAGGCTAGAGTGATGCTTTAATTTTAACCACTGGTCAAAAGCCCCCATTCTTTGAAGCGTGGCCTGGTTGGCACGGTTTGCTATGTACGGTGCGAAAGAAGTTCAACACACATACATGGTTATTAACTGCCACGTAAAAAAATAAAGACTTTCGATGGGTTCCTTATTTAGTAATTGTTTTCAAACTGCACCATGTGTGTGTTGTTTGTACAAAGAGCAGAGCCAAATATTTTTGATCAAGATTAAAATATTGACTGAAAAAAAAACCGACGAATTTGGCTTGTCTAGAATCCCCATCATTATCTCTTGTTACAGACTTTAAATACAAGGAAGTTAAATGCAAGTCCCTTTTCGCATCAGGTATTACTCAATTGAAGAATTTAATCTGAAGATGCTCCGGTTACTCACTTTCTGTGTCAAGTGAATCCTCTACGACTCTCCGAAGCGTTATATTAGAGGTCCATGCTGTCACCCTGTGGCAATCCCGAGACAAGCAGAACTTTGACTCGTGCCCTTGCTCCTCATCAGCGGCGGTGAGCGCGGTCACAGAGGACAAGTAGTGGTCGCGTGTGAACGGGTGAAACACCCAGGAACATCTCTGACGTCATGGGTGCCTATCAATCTTCAACGTAAGACTGTTGAAGCCTTGGAACGGAGAGCAAATTCCAGTTCAATATTGTAAAACTTTGCCCTAAGGCTATATTGACACCACCTCAAACACGTGAACTTGCCTCAAGGTGACATGAGAGCAAATATTTGTAGCAATCTCAGCTTATGGAAGCATGTAACAGTTTCAACCCCCCCCCCCTCCATCCAACACAATGTGGCTGTGCCGGGCATATCCCTGGCCTTTGCGCCCTGCCGTGTGGTCGCAGTAAAATGTAATTCGCGTGCGTGTCGCCCTAGAAGTTAAACACTTATGTCAACAGAGCGAGGATCTTGTGCTCGTCAGGTCGAGAGCCCGACCTACGTTTGGCTGCCCATTACGTCCTCGATCTCCTTGAACTAATTCGTTTACGTCTCGCCTAATTTAACCCCGCATACCTGCTGATGGGCTCCCATTTATACTCCCCACGTGTGTTTGAGCAGTTACCACGAAGATTGTGGAACCTGGTTTAATGGCTTATTACTGTTGTCTTCAGCCCTAACGGAGGAATTAAATGACCCCTTCAGTGACCTCGTATTTAATACAAAACTTGTCATTTGACACTTTAATCTGCGGTTTAAATGGTTCTGCGAATGAGACAGCGATTATTTTTCACACGTTCACGAAGTCCATTTAACTCCCAGCTGAACGTAGAATTGTCTGTGTAGTGTGTGTGCGTATAATGCGCACAATTAGTAATTTTGCTTTGCAGAGAGCAGAGCGCTGAGCAGGGTTCTAAATCTGGCTTTCAGCCGCCCATGATTAAACTGGACTCTCAAATGTAGCGAGTTTATGGTTCTGAGCCTGGTCATTAATAAAAAAAAAATGCTCAATTCCAACTCTAAGAATTTGAAATATCGGTTTCACTGTCGTGTGACAAACAGTCACATAGTAGCCTTTCTCTGACAAATGGGGTTTGCGCTCCTGAGAAATGTCTACATTTATCGTTTGGCTTGTGCCAGTGTGCCAGTAGCGCAACTGCAATATGTTTTCTAGTCTTCTACGATGCGTTGCAGTTGACGGGTGGCTAAATATCCGACACCCTGAAACGTACTTGCTGGTCATTACTCAGTAACTGCGTGAAAATGTGATGAACGTGTAATGGCTGCCAATTAACACGAGTAGATTGCCTTCATTATTGTGTTTTTGCGATCTTGGCGGTGTGAATACTAACCGTAACAGCCCATTGTACGCTCGAGAGGAATGGTTCATTTGAACCCGACAGGCATGAATGCGTTCCGCGTGAGAGTGCGCACGCGTTGTGCATGGTGTGCCAATGGATAACAATTTTCGGACTGTTTAAGACTTTGCACGCTCTGTCTGGATATATCCAAGGGTGGTGAACCTACTGCCCGTGGACTGGTTACGGTCCCCCACTTCATTTCATGCAGCCCCCCACGGCCACATAAGGCCTAATAATTCAGACAGCCCGCAAATTATATTTATCTGTCGCTGCGAGCACAGCACTGGAGGGGGAAAACTTTCGATCTATCAATCCTATTTAGAAGTTTTTACCCGCTCTAGTCATGTCTGTCACTGCAAAAAACAAGAACCTCTTCTATTGAGATAAATTATCGGAGAGTGTGGTTAATGTATGGTTGCCCACCAAAAGGTATTTTAAACTCCTGTTTGGCCCCTCGGTAAGGACAACGTTCCCGTCTCATCCCTGAATAATCAAGATGCTTTGCATCGATGGGAGGGGGGTTAAATAATGACCATGTCCATCAAAGTGGCGCTCGTGTGTGCTCGTGTGGGGACGTGGGCCAGGCTTCTTGACCTCGCCACATTCGGCTCCCGGGAACCTGGCAGATGGAGACAAGGTGTGCGAGGGCCGCGCAGGGGAGTCCAGCACTGTGGACTTCAGCAAGGTTCGACTGCGAGCCTCCTCCTTCCATTTTTGCAATGCCCTGTGACCATCTCCTTCAAAATCTCAAACGTCGCGTAAATTGGCCCCCCACTGCACAGCGAGCAGTAAAACCTGTCGAAGCCGGGACTCGATGAAGCCAGAATTTCGGGTAAGCCACAAAGGCCGTCTCCTCAGTGTTTTGGTTTCGTGAGTTTTAAATGTACGACAATAATTCTCTATAGATCGCTAGCCAGCCAGCCATGCAAAATCCTGCAGCTATTTAAATAAATGTCGTGGAAGAGTTTAACGGTTGAATTTATTTCGAAAATCTTGGTAGGGGACCACCCGTTAAATAAACGGCAGTAAAAATGTGCAGTCAGATGTGTTATAGGCTTAGCTGTAAATAATTGCATAGTTGTGATAATGTTCGTGTATTTTTAATACAACAAAATAATCTCTTTATTTTCAAAACACATTTTTATTTTACAAAGGTGTCATATTGGTTTCTGCCTTTAATCCTGCGTCGCTCGTTATAATCGAGCAAGCGGATAAGAGCTCCGAAGACCTTGCAATTAACAGTTAAGAAGGCATAACCGCCTTGGTTACACAGTTGTAATCAGCGCACAGCCGCCTGTGCATATTTAAAACAGCATGAGGCATCCCAATGTATTTCTTTTCAAAGTATCGCGGTATGCCTTTTTAGCAACCGCAGCATTAGCGGTCAAACCCCTGCCAGTTATCGCACTAACATCCTTGTGCGTGACCTGTCTGTCCCTCCTGCTGTCTGAATCTCCTAATGCCTCTAATGCCTCCTCTGTCTTCTGCGTGCCTTGTTCTTTTACTGCTGTGCTGCTGGTTGCTGCATCTATACCAGCAGCAGCCCTCAGCCACATGGCATTGTGGCTGTATCTCCCCAGACCAAGGATGGCCTGGCATTGTCGTAAGTGGCATTGTCAAATGCTGGGGAAGGGTTCATGTTTGATATATGGCGATTATTATTATTACTACCACTCTGAAGACTTTCAGGCAGGTCCTTCCAAGTTTTCACAGTAAGGGGGGCGATGTTGTGATGTTGCCATGTGCAATCCCAAATTTATTGACCTGTAGATAAATAAAAACATCTGAATTGGAACGATTGGCTGATACCAGTTACATTGTATGATGTTTGTTTAGTTGTTGGGAGGAAACCGGAGAACCAGGAGAAAACCCATGCAGAACAGGGGTATAACATGTCAACTCCACACGGAAAGGCACCAATGTACATGTTTTTGAATACCACTTCAATGACATGAACATATTTCCGTGTGTATATATGTTTACATGTATGCGCATGCATCTATCTGCCAGTCTTATCAGTAAGTTAACCCATAACACATGAATCTGTCCCGTGACCTGCCAGCGAGCCGTCAAAACTTGACGTGGCCTCAAATAGCACCTAGCCTGGCACAAGCGCTGTGGTGACCTCACCACTACTGTTGTTGTGATTGTTGTTGTGATTGTTGTTGTGATTGTTGTTGCTTCATACAGTTTATGGACATACCTCGTGCTTCAAGATATTCTGAAACTTGAATGAGTACCTGGTGTCTTATGTAAAGCATCTATATTGGGCAGTAATAAGCAAGGGGTTATAGTTCTGGCCATACTCTACCTCCGCCTTTGTTGTGCCAGCCTTAATAGGTGCTTTCTAACAGCACCTGCCACCGCATTTATAAGGTTGAGCAAGGAATATTTATTTTTGGGCACGTTTTTATGCGTGTGTGCGCATCATTTGTGCACTCATAAAAAGGTTTTAGTTCTATTTCATCATCAGCCATGATCAATTCACTGCTGTTGCTCTCTTGATGCAGAGATCCATCTAGCACCTGCCAAATGAATTGATTTCATCTCTCCATGGTGCATGTCCTCTTGGGTGCATTCCCCTTCTTTGGCTGCCGCTATATTGTTAGTCTTGACCGCCTTCCATCATTCCTTCTTCCCACGTGTTCTGTCCAAGCCCATTTGTTTTTCTGAAGTGACTTTTCTTAACTTGCATACATTCTCTGATCCACATGTTCCCCTTTTTGTCTCTCATTCTGAGCATGCGCCTGCTACTTGCATGCATTTCTCTTTCAGCTTTTGTTCCATTTCCTTTATCAGTGTCCATGTTGTCATTCATAATATCAATATGTAATTACTGTTTCCTGGACTAACATTCAAACATTCATGAAGCAAGACACATGTGCTTTGTTTCATTTCATTCTGGTTAAAGTCCGAGTTCGGTGACCCAGAACAATGTCCACACCCGGCGCATGACATCCAGTATACCCCTCGCTATGGCTCTGACAACTAGCAGTGACATGCCAACTCCAGTTTTACCAGTGACCCCGAAAAATATTCAGTGAGAAGTTGAGCCCTGGACATCAGGATTTGCATTTATAGGGTGCTTGCTTAAACACCTTTGCAACTCGAAGCTCCTTGCAATCGCAACTAATCCCCGCCATTCCAGTGCCCTGCTGTGCTCGAGCCAATGTGATGCCCGGTGGCAGCTGTTATTGTAGCGATAAACGAGTGGGGTTTTGTTTCGCGCACGCTGGCGAGTGGCTGAGTTTCGCTCCGTGCTGATTCAGGTGGACCTGAACTTCCTGCGTAAAATCCCGCAAGGAGCGGAAGCGTCGAACGTTCTGGTGGGGGAGGTGGACTTCCTGGAGCGTCCGGTCATCGCGTTTGTGCGCCTCTCTCCGGCCGTGCTGCTCTCTGGGCTCGCGGAGGTCCCCATCCCCACGCGGTGCGCGATTTCAACAAAGCGGGGGGGGGGGGGGTGGGAAATATCTGCCGAGGGTTCCACTTTGAACAAAGTACAATAAAATGCGAGAGCAGGTTCTAAATTACAGCCAAGATCAGGCGTGTCATCGTGGCCAAAGCTGTGGATGCCACCACACCTCACGAATGTTTTCTAACCTTCCGGTAGATCCCACTGCTGCCGCACGATAGACGTGGCCTACAAATTACAGCACAACAGTGCACACATTCTGCCCTGACCCATGAACTGCCCACACCTCGGTGCAGTATATTTGTGCATGGTGTATCGGTCATTTTATATCGATGTTCTCGAATCCCACCTTTTCACATACAGTACAATTATTGTTATTCCCGTATTAATTCGCTAACTTCTTAAGCATTTCCTCACGTTTAAAGCAGTGGGCACTTTTTTCTTGCATACTATATATTTTTTTATGCCTGCTGAGTACAACCGTCATATTCTTGAGATGTTAACATGTTCAGCCATTTAACATATCCACCGATAACACCACAGTTCCCAGTGAGTCAGATATGTGACATTGTCCTGTGTTGATGTTGGTATAAATGTGTGATACATGTCCATTCAACCCAAATGACTGATGGGGCACCTTTTTTGGAAGAAATTAAAATCTGTTTCCACAGCTCGGTCAAACGCAGTTTCAACATTGGCACCGGTTGGATTGTGTGCACAGTGGAGATTAACATCATCCTCGGCCATGGGCCAGGGGCGACTATATTTGGGCCCCTCCTCCCCTCCTGCTGGTTGGGTCTCCGTTCTCACGCGCCCCCTTCTGAACTTTTTACACATCCAGCCACTTGCTAATTGGGCACTGACAGAAGCTCAGCAGGCTGCTGGCCAGGTATTCGACTCGTAATGGCCACTGTGGGGATTAAGAAGGCTTTAAACATCTTTGCGACTGTGTCCGATGCCACAGAAACCCTGGTGTCAATATAAATATAATAAGAACTTTGTCCTGTGTCGTCACAAATATACGTTCAAATATTTGTTTGTCCCTCAGCCTATGGCCTTTACAGAGCAATATTATCCAGAAACATTTGTTTAAGCGAGCAAAATATGGACCAGTTTTGACCTCATCAGCAGCTTTGCTTATTTACAAAATGTTTCTGAATAACCAGATGTTATTAGTAAGAGGGCTCCATACAAACTATGGGGCCCTGTTCAATGCAAAAACACACATTTTGGATAATGTTTAGTTGGAAGCCCAGCTGTTCTAAACTTGTTTGAAAATGTGGCCTCTGGTTCTCGTGCAGGTTCCTCTTCATTCTGCTGGGACCGTCGGGCAAGGCTACCCAGTACCACGAGATCGGCCGATCCATCGCCACCCTCATGTCAGATGAGGTCAGCCTGACGCCGACCCTGAGCCCGTTCCACTCAGGAGGGAGGTTGTGTTGATGGAAGGGTGATGAGCAGGAATAAACATTCTTTGTGGCTTATAAATGAGCGGTTTTAAGGCAAATACGTCTCTGGACGGATTAGAATTGTGTAACTTAATCCTGGATTTACATGGCGTTCGGTGCAGTAAAGTAACCAAATTGGCATACGCAGGAAACGTCATCGGGAGGTTCGAACGTGCGTGCGTTGGGGTGTGCCTTCTTGCACTTGCGTGCTTGGATGGCCATTCCTCTGTTGACCCTCGTTTCCTCCGTGACGTGCCATCGTGCACTGGTAACAGAGTGACCATTCCGCAGAAGCACGTAATGTGACCGCACGCTGCCATTTGAGAATTAGCGTTGGCGCTTGGCATGCGATAAACTACAACTTAGGGCCGAGAATTGCAGGGCAGTGATATGGGATAATTGCGTGTTAAGTGACGGCTCAAAGGACCACCCAAAGTAGGTCATCGGCTTTTAAAGGCTACAGCAGTGTGCCTACTCGACCCGTGGATTCATGCTAATGAGCATAACGTTGGGAGAGGGCTATTCTGCAAATGGAGCACTCTGTCGGTAGGCAGCATGTGCAGCCCTCTTCTTAATTCACTGCTGGATGAGGGCCTTCCCAATGACGGGTTGGTTGTGAGGGTTGTTTGACCATACTTCACCATGCCGGTCAGTGCAGGATTATGAAAGCAAGCGGTGTAGCAGAGATGCAGGAGTTTATCATTGCCGTACAGCAGTGGATGTTGCCGCACTGCCGTCTAAAGCTGACCACGTAACCCCACAAGCACAGTGAAAACCCGTTTGAGGATTATGGTAACTCATCAAAACGCCGTCCAGACTCAACCCTGCTTAGCTTCCGAGATCTAAGCGAGATCGGGCGCATCTTAGTTGATTTGGTTACGCGCAGAGTGCAGGCGGTATTAAGTGTGCAGGTTTAGGCGAGGTAGCAGCAGCAGTAGTAACTACAACCAGATGTGAGCCCACTGAGACTAAATGTCTCATTCGGGGTAGACCTGGGTGATTAAAGCTTGTGGCCGTTGTAACTTAGCGTACTATGAAATAATTTTTCACGACCACGGGCACCTTGTTCGCTGACGAATCGTAAATGCCCGGAAGCCCCCCGAAGGAGGAAGCTGTTGCTCCGAGGTGCCGTGCATTGTTTTGTCAGTTTGTAGCAGCTGCTGCTTCTCCTCCTCCTCCTCCTCCTCCTCCCTCCTCCCTCCTTTTCCTCCTCCCTCCTCCCTCCTCCCTCCTTTTCCTCCTCCCTCCTCCCTCCTCCCTCCTCCCTCCTCCCTCCTCCCTCCTCCCTCCTCCCTCCTCCCTCCTCCCTCCTTTTCCTCCTCCCTCCTCCCTCCTCCCTCCTTTTCCTCCTCCCTCCTCCCTCCTCCCTCCTTTTCCTCCTCCCTCCTCCCTCCTTTTCCTCCTCCCTCCTCCCTCCTTTTCCTCCTCCCTCCTCCCTCCTTTTCCTCCTCCCTCCTCCCTCCTTTTCCTCCTCCCTCCTCCCTCCTTTTCCTCCTCCTCCTCCTTTTCCTCCTCCTCCTCCTTTTCCTCCTCCTCCTCCTTTTCCTCCTCCTCCTCCTTTTCCTCCTCCTCCTCCTCCTCCTCCTTTTCCTCCTCCTCCTCCTCCTCCTCCTCCTCCTCCTCCTCCTCCTCCTTTTCCTCCTCCTCCTCCTTTTCCTCCTCCTCATCCTCACATCGCAGATATTCAGTGATGTCGCGTACAAGGCCAAGGACAGGAAGGACCTCCTGTCGGGCATCGACGAGTTCCTGGATCAGGTGACGGTGCTGCCCCCCGGGGAGTGGGACCCCTCCATCCGGATAGAGCCCCCAAAGAATGTCCCCTCTCAGGTGAGGACCCTCTCCTGCCGATGATGCCTGCGAGTATGAAATGATAGAGTGGAAAGTTAATGTCTGACCGATGGCACCGATCCTGCCTGCACAGCATTTTATACTACCCACAATGCAAAGAAGTTTTTTAAAATATTTTTTTGTCATCCCCCACCTAATATTATCCCGGTAGTGCTGTTGGCATCATGTCACCAGACGAATGATCCATTCGCACACAGCAGTGCGTTTCTTCCAGTTAGAGGACGCCCCACAAAAGTGAACATCACAGAGCTGTCTCGGATCCCTTCAGGTGACGTCTCTGGTCCACAGAGTAGGGGGCATCAACTTCTCGCTCAGCCTGCGTATGAGAGTAATGTTGGTCACACGACAACCAATCCGATTTTTCGATTTTAAGTTTTCTTGACTGCAGGGATTCACATTCTTGGTTCTTTCGGTAAAGTCACGTAGAAGGGAAATAATAAAAATAAACAAAAATTCTCACGACGTTTCGATTGCAACACAAGCAATCATCATCAGGTGTGAAAACCACTTTTTTCAACTTTTCTTGCTGTTGTTTTCACACCTGATGATGATTGCTTGTGTTGCAATCTAAACGTCGTGAGAATTTTATTGTTTGATTTTTATTATTTTATTATTATTTCCCTTCTACGTGACTTTACCGAAAGAACCAAGCATATGAACCAATCCGATATTTTAATTCTTGGAAGCAAATTTAATGTGGTTGCTTAAAGTTGGTTCTGAGACCATCAAGACACTGCACTTGCAGACCTGGTGTAATCACAGGCAGTGGTCTAGATTTGATCCCAGGACTCGGTGCCAAATCAGCAATCTGACCCCTGAGCCATTCTTTACACCTCTCAAAGCAGTCATGTTTTAACTGACTCCAGATGTGTATGGTACTGACTCTGTGGTACTGACAAGCCACAGTAGTTTGTGGTCGGGCTCTTGCACGAGGTGCTTATAACCCACGCTAAATGTTTAATACTTGTGGGGAGTTGGTGAGAGAGAGTGCGGTTTTAAAGTTTTGGAAAGTACAGTGAAATATAATAATCTTAGTTGTAACATCTGCAGTACATTGCTGATATCCATAAATGTTTTTATTTTATTTTATCCCAGATGCTAATTTAGATCTATTCTAAACATCTCTTTAAATTGTTTCAGTTATTTTCCCTGCATCCGCAGGTTGATGCAGTTGCAGGCACCATTATGTTGAGTTCAGAAGCGTGCTTTTGAAGGTAAGGGCTAACGTTCCATGACGTCCATCTGTTTTTTCTTACCTCCTGTTTTTTCTTTCCTTGCACACACACACACCTGCCTGCCCCCCCCCACCCCCCGCGCTGCCCCTCGACAGGAGAAGCGCAAGCTGCCGAGCCTCGTCAACGGCGCGTCACAGGCGTTGGAGCCAGAGCACGAGAGCCACGGTGCGGGACCCGAGCTGCAGAGAACTGGCAGGTCGGCCGCCAGCATCTCCCCCACGCACCCTGCACATTCTCACACCCCCACTCACACCCTCGTACGCACCCTCGCACACACCCTCGCACACACCCTCGCACACACCCACACAGCCTGACACACCCTCACACACCACAGCACACCTTCACATGCCCTCACACACCCCGGCACACCTACACACACCCCTGCACACTCCTACATATACCCTTGCTTGCTCCTGCATGCCCCTGTGTACCCCACATGCCACCGCATGCCCCTGTAAATCAGGATGCACCACATGCAGCCTTTTCATACTGCAACACCTCCATCGCTACCAACACGCACAATCCATTAATTCTTGAAATGTAATCAGAAGCAGCTGAGAGCTCAAGAGATTCAGATTTTATAAGGGAGACCTGGGTTAAGAAGCAAAAACAAATCTTCATTATGCCATGGAAGGTCAGAATATTAAACAAAACAGTGGAACCTTGAAATAAATTTCACGTGAAGCGAGACGGCTTCCACTTCAGCATTATAAGGGTCGAGCGTAGAACTCGATATTTCATATGAGATGAAGTGTAACGTTGGAGCGGGTGGTACGGCTTGCTCTTCTCTCGATTTCGAACATCGCCCCTCGCGGGAGCGCGAGAGACGAGCGTCCGTTCACCCTCGACGCTCCGCGCGCCGCGTTTGCGCCCCGAGCTGACGCGGCGCGAGGCCGACCACCGTCGGGTCGTCGGGGTCACCGCTAATGACTCTGCCCCGTGTTGCGGCGTGCACCGTCACTGCCTCGTCATAAAGCAGCGGCCTTGGATCGCGAGGATGTGTCTGCTCGCGCGTGTGCCTTGTGCGTGCGCGCGTGTGGATTTATGCAAACGTGCACTTGTCTTTTCCCTTCAGAGAGCTTATTTGTGTTCCCTTTTTTCCTTCACCGATTCATGCCTCGGATTATACGTACGGTCACACACCATTCGGAACCGTAGTTTGCCTTACAGTGAAGTGAAAGCTTAAGCAGAGTTGAACAGCACATTTATTTGCTAAATCCTTGCAGCGCAGAGTACACATATTTTCTGCATTGTGTGTTTGCTCCATAAATCAAGTTCTGTGGAACAATGTAAGACGAAAAAAAATCTTAAGGTTATTCTAAACTTTAGCCGTTCAGTTGGCCGGCAAGACGTTTTTCCTGTTTGTGTTTGTGGACCATGGTGTTCCCACAGCACAGTGGACAGTTCTGGGCATGGATATATTTTATCCATCGTTGGGGGACTGGAAATCCTTAGGCTCAGCCAATGAAAAGCCCTGTTAGTGGAAATGGGATGGCCCACATGAATCCTGCAAATCCACTATTGAATGAAGGCCTCCCTACTCAACTGTTGGTATGACCATATTTCACCGCGATGGTCGGTGCTGGTTGATGAAGGAAGGGGGTGCCCAGGACCGGTTTGGATTTCACTCTTCACCGGTGTTATCCGTGGCCGTAAATCAAATTCATTTCGCTGGCCTCTGAGCGCAGTGCGCATACCACTATACCACCGCTCCACCATCCCCTGTTGTTGTACAGAGCAACAAAATGCGGTCCCGAGTGATGGCGCAGTCAGTGGGGGTTAAATTTCCATTCGTTCATATATCCGTCGTGTGAATGCATGCGTGTGCGTGCGTGTACGTGCATGCGACAGGATATTCGGGGGTCTGGTGCGCGACATCAAGCGGAAAATTCCGTTCTACTGGAGCGACTATCGCGATTCCCTGAACCTGCAGTGCATCGCCTCCTTCCTCTTCCTGTACTGCGCCTGCATGTCGCCAGTCATCACCTTCGGGGGGCTGCTCGGGGAGGCCACCGAAGGACGCATCGTGAGTTGCTCGATACTCGCAGCGCACTCCCGACAACTTGTGGATTCAGCAGCAAGTGCAGTCGTGCGATTTGCAGTCTTCATCTGCTTTCCGGGGGTTTTTTTGTTGTTGATTTATCTATCTCGGCTGCTGAAAAAAGGTCCAAAACGCAAAGTGATCAGCAATAAAATGGCACCTTTGAGGTTGTAATTAGACAAGAGTTAATAGGTTTCTTGAATCTAATTATAAGTAATTTGGGATAAGACATGACGGGATAAAATTCAAAAGTTTAGCAGTGTAGGGAAATAAGATTCCCATTTTGATGAAATGGCCAAATGCATCGCATGGCATTGCCTGGGCGATTTTACCCCATTGTTGGTGAAGGAGCCATCAGTGAGCATTTGCTAAAAAAAATTGATGATATAAGAATCTAGCCTTTTTTTTCATTATCTGAAATAAAGCGAGTTGTAAATTAGCATGAGCTATATTCTGCATACTTACGAGTGTTGCTGGCAAGTGTTGAAATGAGTGGTGGCAGCATATATATATTTTTTAGTAAAAATGTTGCAGCAGGCAGTTCTCGTCTGTGACCGTCAGCAGCACATACACATTGTCATCCTTGTCGTTGCATTGGTTTGCCACTGCATTTTCAAGACGTTTGCTTATCCATTTTATTCCAGCGTATAGGCAGCAAATGCATTTCGGGAGCTAAGTTACCAACGTCAAGGTCTTGCTGGCCACGAGAGGGCTTCAGGAGAGCGTCCGTGTGGCTTTGCTATTCCTCCTCAGTTGAAGGAGCGCAAACTGCAGTGGTTTTACGATACGGTCCGTAGTTTAGGTTGTATGGCCACAGTTGTGCTGTGGCTTGTGGCTCGTACATTGGCTGCGCACTCTTTGTTAGAACAGAGAGAAGTCACAAAGTGAAAAAAAGCACTCGCATAAACTTCCTGCCTTGCCTTGCGAGCTTGTTCATCCGGCAGGAAGGCACGAGTGGCTCTCAAATGAATGAATAATTTAACTTTTCCATGACCAGGTGCAATGGGTGGATGTAGGTTGCAAAATGAAATCCGGTAATTAAAATTGTTAATGATGCCTTTGAGCTCGCTTACAGCCGTGTGACTGTGTAGAGTTCACAGAATAACCTTAGCACACACGCAAGGCTATGTTTGTGTCCGGAAGCACGTTTTTCTGCTTCAAGACAACAGAGTAAAAGCAGAGAGGTTCAGTGGAGTGGACTACAGACTGCAAATGCAACATGTGCTATAGTATTCAGAGAGGAAAATTTTTTAAACAACTTGGTACTTTTCATCAAATATGGATAATCTTTATGAGAGGTTATCGTGGACAGACAAACAGAGTGAAAGAGAATGAAAGAGCTAACGCATAAACGCTTTGCACCTGGAAGCGTTTAAAAACCACGGCGTGAGATCGGGAGAGGCACGTGTTTGTGTGCAAACTTTCCGACGTGCGTCCTACGACTCAGAAGGCACGTGCATCTCGGTGAGCCGGTGACGCGTGCTTTCCCCGCAGAGCGCCATCGAGTCGCTGTTCGGGGCTTCCATGACGGGCATCGCATACTCGCTGTTTGCGGGGCAGCCGCTCACCATCCTGGGCAGCACGGGGCCTGTGCTCGTCTTTGAGAAGATCCTCTATAAGTTCTGCAAGTGAGTGCTGCCCCCGACTCCACATTGACAAAGCACATAAGCAGGCAATGCTTCATGCATCTGTTTCTCCACGTAAAACTTAAAAGTATTTCTTCTACACACCCATCAGCCCCACGGCCTTCTGTGAGCACATAACCTCAGCAGCACCAATTCAGCACACGCAAACTCTGGCAAACAGTGTCTCAAACAGCAGAGTCTGGCCTGCCCGAATCAATGCAGGTGACCTGCCAGATGTTGTAGGCAAAACCCCTCTAATTCGACGCAGAATTATATAATACACAATGACAATTCTCATTCCCGACATTATTCTTTTTTAACGTGCAACAATTTATTTATTTATTTACCACGTGGGAACCCCTGAGTATCGAAAGCTGTTTTCATTTCAAGTGCCCACTTTTGTGCTTTAGTTTATCCACGTGGGGGGAGGCACGAGTATCCAACATCACTCCAGTGTTTTAAAAACCCACACAAAGCTACTGACCTTTGCAATAGCCACAACTACACCTACTTCGCATTGAAATGGACCAATGACTCATGCGTAATGTCTTTGGTTATTGTTCAGCGCCCTTGTAATGGCTTGCCACGTTACGGCACGATCGAAGTCGTCGTCATTATTGAGAGCTGCACATCTCTATGGGTTCAGCTCCTCCTGCTCTTATGTCCCCTGCTCTATGCCCCCTTCTCCCTGCTCCCTGATCCTGCCTCTTCTCCTTTCTGGAGGGAACCTACATTTTAACAAAAACACAGCCCTGAAGTTGACCTAAGTGACAGTTGCCCTTGACCTCATGTTTCTCACTCTTAACCCCGCGACGACATCGCAACTGGTCCCAACGGTGGCCTTGGTGAAGGTGTGCAGCTCCCTTAATGAAGGGAGCCACGTGGCCCATTTACAGTGAGGGAAAAAAGTATTTGATCCCCTGCTGATTTTGTACGTTTGCCCACTGACAAGGAAATGATCAGTCTATAATTTTAATGCTGGTTACCTGTATAAAAGCACCTGTCCACAGAAGCAATCAATCAATCAGATTCCAAACTTTCCACCATGGCCAAGACCAAAGAGCTCTCCAAGGATGTCAGGGACAAGATTGTAGACCTACACAAGGCTGGAACGGGCTACAAGACCATTGCCAAGCAGCTTGGTGAGAAGATGACAACAGTTGGTGCGATTATTCACAAATGGAAGAAACACAAAAGAACTGTCAATCTCCCTCGGCCTGGGGCTCCATGCAAGATCTCACCTCGTGGAGTTGCAATGATCATGAGAATGGTGAAGAATCAGCCCAGAACTACACGGGAGGATATTGTCAATGATCTCAAGGCAGTTGGGACCATAGTCACCAAGAAAACAATTGGCAACACACTACGCCGTGAAGGACTGAAATCCCGCAGCGCCCGCAAGGTCCCCCTTGCTCAAGAAAGTACATATACATGCCCGTCTGAAGTTTGCCAATGAACATCTGAATGATTCACAGGACAACTGGGTGAAAGTGTTGTGGTCAGATGAGACCAAAATGGAGCTCTTTGGCATCAACTCAACTCGCCGTGTTTGGAGGAGGACGAATGCTGCCTATGACCCCAAGAACACCATCCCCACCGTCAAACATTGAGGTGGAAACATTATGCTTTGGGGGTGTTTTTCTGCTAAGGGGACAGGACAACTTCACCGCATCAAAGGGACGATGGACGGGGCCATGTACCGTCAAATCTTGGGTGAGAACCTCCTTCCCCCAGCCAGGACATTGAAAATGGGTCGTGGATGGGTATTCCAGCATGAAAATGACCCAAAACACACGGCCAAGGCAACGAAGGAGTGGCTCAAGAAGAAGCACATTAAGGTCCTGGAGTGACCTAGCTAGTCTCCAGATCTTAATCCCATAGAAAATCTGTGGAGGGACTGATCATTTCTTTGTCAGTGGGTAAACGTACAAAATCAGCAGGGGATCAAATACTTTTTTCCCTCACTGTACAGCGATGGAGCCACATGACCTGGCGTGAGGCCACTGGCACGGTTCACAAACCACTTTGGCTCATATCCCAGTGTTGGTGGAAACGTGGCATCAAACCCCGCAGACAACCTGCTAGAGACGTGTTTTAACTGCCTCTTCTGGGCACCACATTACTGTGCAGTTGAATGGCTCCCTCACTATGTGATCCACCAAACCCTAACTCTATCCAAGCCGCTGGCTCACAGCCATGAACCACCGCCGCCGCCGCCACTGTTCATGCGGCGTGGCCCGACGGGAGCGCTGAATGCTGCGGCGTGCACGATCCCCGTGTACCCTTGGGGTGCTCGCGCCTGACGCGACAAGGACGTGCAGCGCTCGCGGTTAGCGAGGAACTTATTTGGCTCGCGAGGATACGGGGTTTCTGGCTGAGCGAGCACGCACGCGGTGCAGCGCAGATCACTCGTGTCTGTGTTGCACCCGGCTATCGCGACCCCAGTGAAACCGTTCATCGAGCCGCCGACCAAACATGGCAACGAGTTACAGTCGACGCCTCCTCTTGGCTTCTCCCCACCGCCAGCTGGATTGGCCGACGGGGAAGGGGAGGTGGGGGGGGATGGTGGTGCGGCACAGTGGCGGTGCGGGTCTAAATTCTGCTCGTGGTAAAATAGCCTACTCTGTGGCCTCCTGCCGCTGAATCGTTCGGTTCAGGATTGTGACATGACGGCGGCAGTTGGTGAAACTGCCATGGTCATTCATTGCGGGATTTCCTGTCGATGGGGGGATTTTTTTCTGGATTAAAGGCATTTCATGCCAGATCGTGTGACAGTCTGCACACACTAAGCCTAATTGGGAATTTAGTGATGGGAAAAAAAACGTGCTGCACAAGCCTGTGTGTCTGAACGGCAATGGTAGCAGTTTGCACGTATAACTTTGCACAGCAGAAAAACTGTTGTTATGCAATGCACATGAATTATTTTTGCTAAATGAATAACACACGATACTCAGATGGACTCATGTTGTGTTAAAAGGGCAGATAAATGCGTAATGTAGATACACACTCCTCTGGATGAATAACATGATGGTATGCATAATGCGTGCAGTACGTAACAGTGCCATTTGCAACTTTTAAATGTATTCATTTCATCATTGGCATCGGGTTCTCTGTGCCCAAGTATTGCCGGGTTGAAAAACATTTTTCAATAACTTTCTGTCTTTCTATTTTTCCATCTTTTTCCTGTCTCCATCCCTCTCCAGTCCTGGCTTGACATTATATTTTAAATAATTTTCTTTCGGTATTTATTGGGTAGCCTTCCAGCTTACCTCGAATTCTGAGTTTATAGAGTTTCGACTTCGAGAGCTTTTACTGGATCTTCAAAGTGACACCCCGTTTGTATCATGATGGATGATGGAGAATTTTAAACACGAGGTTGCCCAAGGAGCAGACCTGCCCTGTTGGTATTTTTTTTCATAAACCATCTCACTCCTGCCCCCGCCGCCCTCCGCAGGGACTACAATCTCTCGTACTTGTCGTTGCGCGCGTGCATCGGCCTGTGGACGGCGTTCCTCTGCCTCCTGCTCGTGGCCACGGACGCCAGCTCGCTCGTCTGCTACATCACACGCTTCACCGAGGAGGCCTTCGCCTCCCTCATCTGCATCATCTTCATCTACGAGGCACTGGAGAAGCTCGTGCACCTGGGCGAGACGTACGAGGTCAACATGCACGCCGACCCCGAGCTGCTCACCCAATACTCGTAAGCCGCCCGCACGCACGCGAGCATCAAGACAGAAGTCTGCCGGTTAGCCCTGCAGACTATGATTATGGAGACGGGGGGCAGGGAAGTGAGTTCTGTTGGCGAGCGCCTATTAAGGCTAGCACGGTGCACGCAGGGGCTGGTTTAACCAGCTGATGTCCACACACTGCGCCAGGCAATCTATTTAAGGCTGATTTTTACACAAGGGAATCCCAGGAAGTTTCGTTTAAAACTTGCTGTTCATGTACAAGTCAAGGTAACAGTGGTAGTGGGCAGTAGGGGAACCGCTGGGCCTCTCACTATTCCACATTGACACATTTATACGGACAAAGATCCCGTGAATACCCTTAGACAGGCTCTTACAACAAGTGTAGTTAGCGACCACCTCTTAAGGCTGGCTCAGCGCATGAGGAGTTGGTGTGGCCACCACCAAACCTAGCTGCCGTTGTCTCCCCAATTATGATTGTACACACTGCTTCAAGTACAGTACTCATTTAATGTGAAGTCGACCTTAGGGTTCTGATACATCTTGCTACTAATTTTATCTATGCCCAGGAATCCAACTTCGGTCGCCGGATTTATCGTGCTTTGCGCTAACCACTGTGCCAACGCTCCCCATACACAATTAAACACATACAGACACGCACACCATGGATTCAAACACGCGCTCACACACACACAAAGCATTGGTTCATTATAATTGCCGAGCATGGCGGAAATGCCAGACTTGGAGGTCAAGTGGAGTTGGTGGCTCATCCTCTGAGAGCCCTCTGAAGTTCATAATTGCCTCTTACAATTGTGAGTTGTTTTCAAATTCTACTCGGTTGTACTCTGATTATAGTTCTGAATTGAGCAACAAACATATGCATGCAAATATGGAGCCAAAGGCCATTGCAAGGTTCACATTAATGCACTGCGGGGGCACCTCGGAATCCTGGCCAGGCTCGTGGCATGTACAGTCAGACACAAAGACAAAGGTGCCCTGTCTAGCCTTTTTAGGCTGTTGGGGCAAGTTCTTTTGAAGGCCATAATATTGCACATGCGGTTAGTGTGGCCAGCAGCACGCCTGGTCGCCATCATCTCCTCATTGCTGATGTGTATTCACTGAACTAGGTACTCATTTAAGGTTGAGTAGACCTAGGGGTAGCCCGGGGCGATTTCAGATATCGACACTGATGTTGGCCGTGAATGGCAATCTAACCCAGGGTTGATAACTCGATGCACTGACCACTGTGCCACAGCTCCCCCACAGTCAGACACAGGCACCCACACACACAGGCTATCCCTCATGCAGACGCCCACATGGGCCCACGTGACCGCACGTATGCACACACACAGCCGTCTGCCCCGGTTAAGCCCCTGAGTGCGCCGGCTGAAATACAATCCCCTATGCTCGCAGCCGCAAATGCCTCCCGCGGACAAAAGCGGTGCGCTACGCGGCAATCACTCTGCGCGTGCATGAGTCTGTGCCAACGTGAGCGGCGTCTACAAACGCCGCTTCACCAACGCCGAGGCAGAGAGAGTTTTAATTGTGGATGTAATCTTGTAATGCCGGTGTGGTTGGCAGGCACGCTAATCAGTAGGGGGGGGGGGGGCGGTAGGGGTTGGGCGGGTAGGCGGTGGGGGGTTGCTGTTGCTTTGCCGCTGGTATTGGGGTGTGTAATTTGCCATCCCAAGAAGATCAAGGGAAAGGTCACCCGTACAGTTATACGTCAGCAGACTTTTCATTTCCCAGTCGTCATGTAGCCCTGCCACCTTTTGCCACTTGTGAGTTATTTTTTGCGGGCGACGTGTTGCGAAAAAAATGGAAAGGATGTGAAAACGACGGTGCCGGACAATAAATGCGTGCATGCAGACCGAAATACGGTGCCGTGTTTCGTTTGATATTTTACAGCCACTTGGTCAAACCACCGCTGGGTAAATACCTGATTGTGACGTGTCGCTTCACTCGACCATACTTCACCACGCTGGCCAGTGCGGGTTCGTGAAGGTGATGAGGGGAGGTGGTGCAGGACCGGGTTGAGATATGACTCGCCACACTCATGTTAGTCGTGGCCAGGAATGAAACCCAGTTTGCCGGTTTCACAGTGCAGTGCGCGGAGCGCTTCTCCACCGCTTGTTGTTTACTTATTAATAAACTCGCACCATGTCGTAGGGAGAGGGAGGGAACCCGTTGTTTGTGTTATGCAACGGAGCTGCGTTCAACATCATGTCGCACGTAACTGAGAGATGTGTGCTTACATCACTGATTTAACACGGCCCATTTGTCTCGCCAACAAAGTGTAACCTAGTCGTGGCTGCACACTGTGCTGTTACGTGACGCTAAGCTATGCGCACATCAATTCCTTAAAAAAATAGTGCACGTTGTCCTGCTCTGCTGTAGTGTCGCTTTGCCGTCCACAAGCACACAGCCACCAGTGTACCCGGCGCGTCGGCCTGCAGAGGACCGAAACCAGGTTTGCAGGCGTGGGTTTTTAATGTGCGTGCGTGCGTATATCCGTACGTGCATTTCTGTTGCAGCTGTGTGTGCGTCGAGCCGAGTGTTCCGAGCAACGAAACTCTGGACGCATGGAGCAATATGAACCATTCGGCGGACAGCATTCCCTGGGGAAACCTGACAGTCAGTGTGAGTGTTCCTTCCTTGGCGGTGTCTTATTAAATCTCACTCATCCCAGCGGCGGACTGACGCCATTGCCCCGGTGTAGACGGACCCAACGGTGACCGCACGTCCGTTATAATCTCACTGTCGGTGTGCTTTGCCCTTTCTCAAAGACGTTGGAAATGGTGGCATTCTTCCATTTAACTCTGCCCGTGATATTCCTCAAGAACATGGCATAATTGCACACAATTGTTCAAATTCGCTGTCATCCCCGGATTCTTGTACCGATAATTTTCCAAGTCAAACTATTATATTCTCACTCTTGTTATCTCATTACATATCCAAGATATTTAACTTGCTTTTCTCGAATTATTCTTTAAATCTTCTTTTTGTTCCTGCCATCCGTAATACGTTTGTCTGTCAATGAATTGTTATACTTGTTTGCATAGTATCTGTCTTATGTATATACATAGATACTAAGGATGTGTGGCTAATTTTCAGATTAATACAACATTTTTTCCTAAAATTGAGCCGAAAGTTTGACCCCACAGGAAATGACGTCACATACATTCCATCACTTTCGTGCTTTTCCCGCCAAAAGCGGTGTCATCCGGCATCGGGTGACACCCAGCACGAAGACGCGATGAATTATTACGTGATCTGAAAATCTACAAAAGATATGAAATCCGAATTTTTGTATTTATGTGACACGCTTGCGAATACTTGCGTTAGTTTGTTTATAAATACATTATAAAAACACGGAGAGTGCATATGTCATACACAGTTCCTTAAGTTGTATTTTAAGTGCAGCATGTACTGGTAATCCATGCTTATATTTAGTGATTCCATACCTGCTCATATTTAACAGCAGGCTTGTGTGTACACATAAACCAGCGCATGTAGACCTTGCCTCACTAATTTAAGTTTTTATTTATTTAATGTGCACACAGTTTTTAAACTTTGCTGGTTCGTTTTTGTTTGAATTGGGCAGAGTGATGTTGATGCATGAGGCTTACCATTCACGCCCTGCGCTGCTCAGCGCCAGGCATCTCTGACTCCAATGTATTGTGTGCATTCTATATTTTGTGTCTCTCTCCGTATCTCTGTCTTGTGTGTCTCTGTGCCTCTGCTTCCCTCTGTGTATCTGGTCTGCCTCTGTATCCTGCCGTCTCTGTCTCTGCTCTGCATTTCTGTCACTTTGTTCATCTGTCTGTGTCCTGGTGTCTCTGTGTCCTCGTCCACTCTCGTCGTGCAGAAATGCTTAGAATTACACGGTCAGTTTGTGGGGACGGCGTGTGGCCACCACGGGCCCTACATCCCTGACGTCCTCTTCTGGTCCATCATCCTCTTCTTCGCCACGTTCTTCCTCTCCGGATTCCTCAAGCAGTTCAAGACCATGCGCTACTTTCCCACCAAGGTGCGGACATGACAGTGACTCCCATTGGGTCCATCAATAATAATTTAACGGCCTTTGTTTCGAACCACCAGCACGATGTTATAATTTTTGGTCCTAATTGTTTGAACTTTTGATAATAACTCTGTGTTTATCCAGGAAAACCTCACTCGGTCTCCAGACCTTTTTTTAAGAGAATCTTGCTCTGTTGGAATGTTTGCACAATTATTTTACTGAGTGTCTGGCTTAATGTGGAAGGAAACCAAAGAATACGGAGGAAACCCACCATGAAGACAAAGGTCGAACGAGTAACATTCTTAACTCCACACAGATAGATTCAAGTATCTGTTGTTTCACTGCCATCTCCTGGCCACCACGCAGCCCAAACTTATAATACCTGGTATTTTCAGACAGTCTAGCTTCCACCATCGGACCTTTTTGCCAGTATTCTTATTTCTCAGAGTCTGGCTTCCATTTACGGTCCAGGCTAAATCTGCTCAGCTTCCGAAACCTGACGAGACGGAGCGTGTTCAGCGTGATTTGGCCGTTTTGCTGCATGTGTGTCCGTGGGGTGGATCGGACAGAGGGGCATTTCCGAACAAAAACTAAAAAGTGCGCAATGAAGCATGGACAGATGCATCCTTGGAATCGCGACGAGGGACGTGTGGATCGGGGAACATACGTAGGTTATAGATATCAGATTAACTATTAAGAAAAGTAAGTGGGCTTGGGCAGGATAAGTCGCTAGAAGGAATGATGGCCGATGATCAAGAATAATAACAGAGTGGCAGCTAAGGGAGGAAACTTACTCCCGAGAGGATGCACACTGAGGGAGAATGAGTGCTAAAACTCAGCCCATGTGCAAGTGCGAAGCGGATTATTGCATCGCAGAATTGTGAGAGGTGGCTACGGCTTGCGGAGGCCTTCATCTAGCAGTGAAGCGATCATGGCTGATGCCGGTGGTGATGTTGCTATTGTGGTGCAGGTTCGCTCCACGGTGAGCGACTTTGCCGTGTTCCTCACCATCCTGAGCATGGTGGTCATCGACTACTTCCTGGGCATCCCCTCGCCCAAGCTCCAGGTTCCCAGCGAATTCAAGGTAATGGTGCCCACTGAGCTCTCACGTGCGTACAGGAACCACGGTGACCGCGGACCGCACGCTGTACAGGTTGTTGATGCTGCCGCGGTGGTAATGGGTGCCTGACTTGCAACACAGAGGTCACCGGTTCGATTCGAACTCCTGGCGCGGCAGTTGAACCAATGGGGAACGTTTATTACGTTCCCCCTCCCCAGCTGCCTCTTGCCAAGCCAGCAGTATAAATGGATACCTCTATCGTCGATGGGCCGATGGCGTGTGATGTGGTAAATTGTGACAATTTCTACCTCTAGTGGAGGCCCTTCTGCTAGCAGTGGTGTGAATGAGTAGTTGCAGAGCTGTACTTTTTATTTTATGTATTTTTATTTTGTGTGTATGGGAGAGATATGGCCTTGAAATTGACCCTAAAAGAGGGGGTGAGGTCTCATTGAATAGCCACCAAGGTTACCGGACCTCTCACCCCTTAATGATTTTTTTTCATAGAAACATAAAATAACTAAAGTATAAAATACGAGTTGAGTGAGCATCTACTGTAATTTACTGTACAGAAGTATGGTTGCTGATTTTCGCAACGCCCCTGCACAGTCCATCATCGTTCGTAACGTGCCTTCTAATTCCGGCCGAGGGGCGCCCTTTGGCTCGAGAAATTTGACTCGCGATCAAGCAGTTGCAAATTCAAATTCCAGCTGGGGGTCAACTTGACCTACCATCCACGACCACGTTGTAACAGGTTGACAGTGATCACCCATTGACTGGTCTGGCTATTGCCATGGGAATGTGTAATTTCCACCACTGGCCTAGAGCCGGCATTGGAGATGAATGTGTGGCCCTATTGCTTTTTTTTTTAGTATTAGCAGAAGACACTTCAATTTGACCTTCACAATAGTCTAAAATTTGCTGCCAAGTTAATTTTACATTGAAACATGTAATACAAGTAATTTTTTAAAAATATATAACTGGAATTATGTAACGTTCCACATCAGATGAATTGTGTGACCTGTAGCTGCTGTAAAAAAATTCTGAAAGTTTCGTGTGAAACGTGTGGATCTTGGCCTGCGTGAGTTTGGTTTAATGGCTTAATGGTTCCTGGTGCAGAAATAAACTCGCTCAATGCAACCTGAAGTTATGCAACCCATCTGGCACGTATTCTCTACACTCTGGATTGTTCACATATTTCCAACACTCATGCCAAAACGGATAAATGAGAAGGAAATTTGCTGCACGGCAGATATAACAGTCGAGCACAGGCTTGGGTCCTCCAGACTACTCTTTGGCAGGGTCTAATGCAGAAAAAAAATCCACCCACTACGGTCTCAGAACCGTTGGAAAAAAATATATAATATGTATTGTTGTGTACAACCTAAATAGACATGACGTGATTGCCAGTCAAGAAAGATGGAAACCATAAGTTTGGTTGAGAAGCAGGAAGCGCGCCTGTGCGTGCAGGCACATTTTTGTAAGGGTCGTGTCCTTAAAGACATGTTATCAGCTCTCGTCCTTGACATTTGGCTGTGGGGTGTGGCAAAATGTAATTGATCAGTTTTTGTTTCAAAGTGTTTGCCAGTTTTTGTACTGCAACCACGGGCTGTGCTCAATGTAGCCAATCAGCCAGCCTAGAGGCCCTGACCTCGACTGACAGTGACAGTGGCTTCGACTTAAAAGGTCCCTGATCTCGACCTCGACTTGGCCTTGTGGCTCCTGGCATTGACCGTGGCCTAATGGTTCCCGGCCATGAACCCAAGCCTGGCTGATGTCCTCATGGCCTTGAGACGAATTATGGTTGTGCGTTAACCGAGCCATCCTTCCTATTCCACCAGCCCACGCGGGATGACCGGGGCTGGATCGTGGACCCCATTGGGCCCAACCCGTGGTGGACGATCCTGGCTGCTGCCATCCCTGCTCTTCTCTGTACCATTCTGGTCTTCATGGACCAGCAGATCACGGCCGTCATCATCAACCGCAAGGAGCACAAGCTGAAGGTGCCCCCCAACCTTCCCGTGTGCGTTTCCTTGTGTCACCCTGTGATTGTGTTTCTGTGTGACATGTGAAATCGTCTGCACATTCATATTTACAAGAGGCGATCAAACATATTGAAAACCGTGTGTTAATATACTTAACCTTTCTTGCGTGTAACATGGCCCAAATGAGTATTGGTTTTTCAGTCAGATTTAATATGCACGTCAAGCCCAAGACAGCTTGACAAAGAGCAAACATTAATGTATTTAAATTGTGTTAATATTTAACGTCTCAAAAGGCCACAGTAAAATAAGCCAAATGTGATTTGAAATCCATCATCCACAAGTTTTTACACCAAAAAATATTTATAAAACTGCAGTTATTACTTAATGTTGTGCAATGTTGGCCAACTTTTTTGCAAAAGAAAAACCTGGCCCGAACTCGGTACTGTGTTGATGAGCGAGAGGTTGAAACAGAGGCTACGGTGGAATTTGTGGCTTCGGTGCCGTTGCCCAACAGCACCGAAGCAACGACCCTCCTGAAAATGAGTCTCAAAACTCAATGCGGCTTGACTTGCGTAAACAAATACAATGATATTATGAAAACTACAGGCGAGTGGTGGCGTATATAAACCTCACCTAAGTTCTAATCCCAAGCATGGCTATTAATACCAGTGACGAGTGGTGTTTTAACTGATCCTGGGCACCCCTCCCTCCCGCCCGCCGCCCCTTCATCCTACACTGGCTAGTATGGTGACATGGTCAGAATAAGTTCAACCAGGCCTTCATCCAGCGGTGGATTAACAAAGGGCTGTAAATGTGTATGCATTAAAAGCAAAAAGTACGGGTTTTTTTTTGCAATTTTTATTCATTTGCACATGTGATAGTACGATCAGGCTGGGTGGCACTGCCTTTAAGGTGCTTGACTCAGAATTAGAGTTTGGAGTGCATGTCTTGGCAGGGGATTGACTAGACACATCGTGGGTCCAGCGCCAATAAAATAAACAATCCTTTGTGGGAAATGAACATTAGCCTATGAGAAAACTCGGTTCCCATCATTGGAAAATGTGATTTTGCTCCATTATCCCTGGGTCATCGATAAACGAGAGCGCTGCCCTGACACTTATTCATGAGTAGATGTATAATGATTCACCTGCCCACCCTCCCCCCTCTAACCCCCACCACAATGCAATCATTTGCCTTGATTTGAGGTCACACTTGCAAATGAGACCCAACCTGGTCTCTTGAGTTCTAACCTGGTTAAACAAATCAACTTGAGTTTAACACGTTGGCTCGCCGCTTTCCGTGGTGCTAACGTTAAGGGAAAAAAACGCCACTTTTTTCGACATAGAAGTGTAATATATGACTTATTGTTAGTAGCTCAGCTTATTGGAGAGTATATTGAGTTTATTGATTATATTGATGTAGTTTATATATATATATTTATCAGTTTACTATATGGTAGTCATTATATAGTGTAGTGTATACCCAGTTACTTAATGTTAATAACTCGGTTTATTGGAGATTATATTGAGTACATTGATTATATTGATGTAGTTTATATTTCGTTTTTACACATCGGTTTATTGTATGGTAGTAGGGTATTTGCAGTTCTTTAGAAACTCCTTTTTTGTTTTCCACATAATGCACTAGCTTGATATGCAGTTCTTTATTATAAAAATTTCCCTCCCTTTATTACTGCTAATCCTATATAATAATGACTTTGAGACCCCCCACCGCCTACACATTCCACAAGGAGTGACTAACCCCATATCTGCATGTCATCAATATGCTACATTCCTCTGTTGATATGTAAACTCCTTTGTCAAGGCGCTCTCCTCCTCCCACCCAGCTTAAAATACGCTGCAAGCTTAGCAGTGTTCATGAGGACGCTGTCTCTCCGACAGCTCTGTTCTTCATCTGAGGACAGCTGCTTGCGTTGTGGCCGAAACGTCATGAGAATTTTATTTTATTATGTTTTATTATTTTATTATTTCCCTTCTACGTGACTTTACCGAAAGAACCGAGAATACGATAATTGTATTGTTGCATTGCCTACTTGTTGGAGCAAGGAAGCCCATACTTAAAATAGATATTCTTTCGCCAAAATTTTATCCTGACTGTGCTATCGTTATCGTAGCATGAGGCAAAAAACCCACTTTGATCTCTCGCAGAGCAGTACAACCCCTTCATGCTAGTGAGCAGCCCATTTAAGTGGATACCACAACTACCTCTGTGATGCCTTCAAGTGACATCTCGTCTACACAGTAGGGGGCAGCACATTCCCACTCAGTCTGCCACTGAGAGTAAATTTCATCACAAGACAAATTTAATACGATGTTTTTTGTGTAGTCACGGTCTGAAGTTGTACAAATAATTATTTAAATGTTGGGTATTTTATCTCAGTTTTCCAGTTATTGATTCCATATCATGAGCCAAATTGTCCATTTAGAACTTTTGCAGAGCAGTTCATTTTAGAGAACAGCCCCATGGAATTTAAAATAACAGAACTACTTCTCATATACCTTCAAGAGTGAGCCCTTGTCCACACGATAGGTGCTGCACTTAACCACAAACCCTTCTATAAAAGTGTTCATCACATGGCATTCAAACTTAATTGAATTTTTTTTCTCGGACCTGTAATTTTTGACAAATTGTGAAAAACCAATTTAATAATGTGTTTTGTAAGCTGAGACCAACTCACGACATTTACCTGGATTCGAACCCAGGTTCTCGGCGGTGCCAGCTCAGAAACCTGACCTGTTAGCTCACCTGGCGTCTTCCTCGGAAAGCCCGTCGCTCTAGAGCCCGATTGCTTAGCGCGCGTTTTTTTCCCGTCCATGTGTGTGGCGTGTTGCAGAAGGGCTGCGGCTACCACCTGGACCTGCTGTGGGTGGCCATCATGCTGGCCGTGTGCTCCGTCATGGGGCTCCCGTGGTTCGTGGCGGCCACGGTGCTCTCCATCTCGCACGTCAACAGCCTCAAGGTCGAGTCGGAGTGCTCCGCACCCGGCGAGCAGCCCAAGTTCCTGGGCATCCGCGAGCAGCGCGTCACAGGGCTCATGATCTTCGTGCTCATGGGTTGCTCCGTCTTCATGACCGGTGTTCTTAAGGTGACTTGACTCCCTATGCTGTTGCGGGTGCTTGGGGTTGTTTGACCGTGCTCGACCATGCCGGTCGATACAGGTTGGTGACTTGGAGGGGAGCACGAGTGTAGACGCATGTATGGATCGGCGTGTACAATAATTGATTTTACTACACTGCCCTCTGCTGACCACCACCTAGCAAAGCCCTTCATTCACCTACGACAACCTGCCGTGCATGGTGCTAATGCATGCATCTTTATGTGATCAGGTGTTTTCTATGTGATTGGGTCATATTCTAATTAGCATTGATGGTCTGTGTACTGTATGCGTTTGTTAATGCCTATGCATCCTAGTGGCTCTGGGTAGATTTTGACCGATGGATTGGAATGTTAGAAGGTCAATTCTAGGTCAGCGGTTAACTCGGCTTGTCGTCCAGCCATAGTTGATAAAAAAAAATAGTAATCCTTTGTGGCGAAGTCAACAGCTATCAAACTAACTTGAAGTTTGGCTGCCCCATTGCTGCTCTGAGCAGGACATTTTGACGTGACCTGATTCACATTTAATAATTTAAGTCACTGCGCAATCTGCAGTATTTCATCAGTCATGATACAATTGGGGATTTTTTTTCCCTCTAATTGCTAAGAGGTATTTTTCTCACAATCGTTTTATATTGGGTGCATGTTCACAGAGTTGGGCTGCTTTGGGAATATCAAGGACAGTACCTCATTGTCATTTTATTGGTTACATCAAATGGTGCTATGCTGGAATGGCTAAACACTAATTGAAATAAGCAAAAATAATAGCACTTGATTCCACAATTGCACCAAAACTAGGGCACTCGCTTGGGGTATTAAAATCCTATAAGCTTGGTTTATTGTGTTAATGTATATACAATAATAGAAACAATCATGCTTCACACTTAAACTGTCAAAAAAGCACGTTGAACACAATCATGTATTTTTAGTTTGAATAATATTGTACCGTGCGTGAACATGTTGTGGGGTTTGGCGTTGAGGAGCTCATGATAACCATTGAAAACAATTATTTTTTTAACAGAAAATGTTCCTGGCTAAGTCGTGTTTTAAACATTCAGAACACGCTATTAACGCATTTTCCCAGTTTGACGTAACCACGCCCTGTGCCACAGTTCATCCCAATGCCGGTGCTGTATGGAGTCTTCCTGTACATGGGGGCCTCCTCTTTGAAGGGAATCCAGGTGAGGTGAATGTCACTATATCGGTCTCTTTCGTTAGTTTCCACCTCGTCAAACGACAAAACTTAAGTATGACGGTGGCACCCACTCACTGGCAGAAATTACTCACCTCACCCTCTGCACCGAACACTCGCTTAGCAATCCTTCTTGTTCCCATGCGTGTTTCAGAGTATAATCTGCTCTCTGATATATAACGCGGATACGAATTGGATATCACACTATTGAGTGAACGGAACTACATCGAGAGAGTAGGAATAAGCGGTTGTGGGTAGGATGATGTTGCTACCCACGCGCCTCAGTCTTTGTTCAGCCTGCATACGTATCTCACACGTTATCGCGGACTGCTTTACCCTATGTTTACTTTATTATTACGCAATATTTCCATAACGCGGTGTTCTTCATAAACGCAACTACCGCGTTTTAAGAGAACAGGCTATAGAAAATAAATGTACAGCCCTGTATTCCACTACTCGGAGTTATAATGCTGGGTCTGTGAGTCATGCACTCACTGCGCTATTGGCCCCATATCACAAGGGGCCCACTCACTCTTTTCAGGCACGTGCCACTCCGGTGTCGCCTTACACTGCTGAATGTGGCATTGCGAGTAAAGTTGCCTATTTGTACTACTTTCTATATTAATCATAATGATAAAAAAGTTATTAACAAACCCTTGTTGGTTGAAGGCGATGCCGGTCATTGTTTTGTGTGACCATATTTCACCATATTGGTCAGTGCAGGTTGGTGGAGGAGGATGCCCAGGGCCAGTTTAGAGATCACTCGCCACTGATTGGATATCACTCGCCACTGATTGGCAGCAACGGCAGGGAAATTAACCCAGATTTCCGGGTTCACAATACAGTGATAATCAGAATCAAAATCTTTATTTGCCCTAGAGGAATCCAGGAATCCAGGAATCATACTGCCCCACTGCTCCACCCGTGTATATAAGCATGTACAGTGAGGGAAAAAAGTATTTGATCCCCTGCTGATTTTGTACGTTTGCCCACTGACAAAGAAATGATCAGTCTATCATTTTAATGGGAGGTTTATTTGAATAGTGAGAGACAGAATAACAACAAAAAAATCCAGAAAAACGCATGTCAAAAATGTTATAAATTGATTATCGTGATAATCAGCTGTTGTTTATAAACTGCTGGATGAAGTCGTCCCCATGTTTTCACCATCTATCACAGTCCTGCAATTCTGCAATCCAACTCCTACACATGAACTGATTTCATTGCTCAACGTTTCTTTTGTGGTCATCCTTTTGAGGCGCATTCTATAATACTGCCTGACATTCCATCACCAATGTCATCCAACGGGGCACCATAAAACATTAAAAAAGAATTGGCCTTTGCGAACACAAGCAATGATTGTGCGTTAACTCTTTTCACATCTACAAGTTCAAATCGTCCTATTACTATATTTATAATTATTACAGTAATGTTGGATAGTATCTTGGGTTATCATGACTTTAAGCACCTCATAGCTGTTCATATGAACTATCCATTCGAGCCATGGGGATGATTGTGACGCTCACACTGATGATGATGTTGACAATGTTGCTAATTTGTAATGGTCGTCGTAACAGTTCTTCGACCGAATCAAGTTATTCGTAATGCCGGCGAAGCACCAGCCCGACTTCATCTACCTGCGCCACGTGCCGCTGCGCAAGGTGCACCTGTTCACCGCCGTGCAGTTCACCTGCCTCGTGCTGCTCTGGGTCATCAAGGCATCGCCCGCCGCCATCGTCTTCCCCATGATGGTACCGTCGTGAGCACGAGCACCTTCGGCGGCCTAATCTCCCCCCCCCCATCCCCCCCCCTCCCCCCAGTCGGTAGACGCACAGCCAATTGCAGCGATAATATTAACGGACCTGGACAGCCCTTTTGTCAATCCACTGCCGGATGACGACCTCTCTACGCAATATTAGCTACCCTTTGCAAACGCTTCAAGTGACCTGTAGTCCACAGTCTGGAGCAGGACCTTCCCCCACCCTCTTTGGCCATGCTTCTCTAAAAGCGCGATTTTAATAAAACACCAATGTATATGTACAACCCTTTTATCAATTCACTGCTGGATGAGGGCCTGTCCAGACGTATGTGAGTGTTGGGGGCTATTTGACAATTTCATCACGCTGGTCAGTGTGGGTTGGTGAAGGCAGGTAGCAAAGACGATGGAGCATTGCACAATACACGACTCGATTTTGCTGCATTGGCCTCTGCTGCTCACAACTTATAACAGCTGTTTTATGCATGACAGCCTGATCCCCCGCTATCTGGACACACAGGCATGAATAGTCATTGATCCAGGAAGGCCCCGCTGAGTTATGCAACTATTTTTGAGGAAGGTCCTGCATTGGGATGTTTGGCCAATTACATTTTAAGGCAGTGTTTTGCATATGGGAGAAATCCGGAGTACCCAGAGATAACCATCCAGGCATAAAAGGGGAATCACACTCAAAGATCCATACATATATTCGCAAACCAACACTCGGTTATTGCCATCCTCTGGATGACGGAGATGTTTGGTTTTCTGCTGAGGCTTCAGCGACTCGTGAGCGCGCGCGTCCGTGCGCTCGTTGATTTTGCTGAAGGTCCTGGCGCTGGTGTTCATCCGCAAGCTGCTGGACTTCTGCTTCACCAAGCGGGAGCTGAGCTGGCTCGACGACCTCATGCCCGAGAGCAGGAAGAAGAAGTTGGAGGACGCTCTGCGCGAGCAGGAGGACAGCGAGGTGTGTGCGTCACCGCCCCTCGAGTAACACACAGTGGGCAAACAGCAATCAAGCCCACCCTCGATTACTCCACAAAGAGCACTCGTTTACAAACCACTCTTTCAAACGGGTAATAGGTGCAATATTTTAGAAATATTAAATGTTGTGTTTGTTATTTCACGAATATTGTCATTTGATTTATAAACTAAAATGAGTAACGATAATCGTGACGTGAGACTATTATTTGCAAAACAGACGATGCGATTATTGTTGGACCCCTTATATCGTGGTATCGACATATTGCGGCAAGCCTATCAAAAATGTTCCACCAATGAAGTCTCCATAAGTACAGCACTAGGGACCCAGCGGCTCATGTCCTCATCATTATTTCCTGTTTCTTTTTTCCTGGGCCCATCACAAACGTTACGCAAATAGCTCGGCAACAGCGGAGGCAGCCGGAGCCGGGTATGTTATAACGTCCAGCGTGTACGGCGATGTCCGAGCGTTCCCTTGCATGATTGCATGCCCACTTGTCTCTGTTGCTTATTTGAAAGGCACAATGCTAACGGTACTTGAGTCTCCAAACATACACGAAAGGAAGAAAAAATAATAATCATTTTTTTCCACTACATTATTTTACAAATGTGTTCTCGTGTGAAACAACATGCATCACAAAGCCACGGAGAACTGAACAGCTGTTCTATTCTATTTGTGAGTAACCACAACGTCCTTGCTATTGACCAAAGTGTGTCCATAAACAGGCAGAGCAATGCAACCACTGTTGTAAAAAATTATCGTTTTCAGTTTAGCTTGACGCCCTACATGTTCAGAAAATGCGGTTACTGGAATGGGTTTAAATTCTCAGATTTTCAGGAAGAAATACATCTCAAGAACTTTCATATTAGCCGTTGGATTATAAAAATGTGTCCATGCAAAATGGCAACGCGTGTCGTAAGGGCGCGATCTGCCGTGGCAGTTGCATCAATGGTGGCGCGTTGTGGTTAATGTTCGTTGTTGAATCGTCCTAACGTGCATGACCGTGTGCCTCAGGAGACCCAGCGCATACTGGAGGTGGCCGAGGTCGGCACTGTGCAGGTTCCACTGGAAGGAGGAAACGTTCTCAAGATCCCTGTCAAGGGCATCAAGTTCAGGTGACGCCACATCTTTCCTATTTGCCAGCTCGGTATTATGAATGCAGAATAGACACTGCATGTAATACACAGCCAAACGGCATAATTTCCTGCACAGCGCTATGTATTTGCTTACAAAAACATGCTTTGCGTTGAGATTGGTGCATGAGCACAACAAAAACTCAAAGCATTCACCAATAATACTGCCTTAAAGATAAGATATATAATATTATCTGATACAAAGAATAACTTTTGCCCCTAAACATCGCATCCGTTAATATGAATTGTTGAATATTTTAATATACTGTGTACTTTATTTCAGTGGTTTATATAATTCATTGTTTGCATCTTTAGATTCAATACTAATGCTATTATTTATCCAGGAGAGAGTCATTAGGTCGCAAGACTCATTTTCCGGAGAGCCTTTTTATTGTGATGCGTGCCCAATTACTTGAAGGAACGTTTTGCATATGGGAGAAATCGGGAGTACTGGGAGAAAACCCCCCACATAAACAAGGGAATAACACACAAAACAACTGCGCGGATGGGTTGACAAACCCATTTGCTGTGCTATCTCCTGGCCATCTGCCAACCTTGCAGCACTTGTGATTCACCAATCCTTGTGTACAAAGTGCTGGATTAGAAGCATGCACCATCGTGCCCAGATAACCAGTTATGCCCATTTTGCCGCGTTTTGAACTTCAGCCATCATGACCCTTCCATCATCAACATCTCGGAGGAGATGTCCAAGACGGCGGTGTGGAAAACTCTGGCTGGAAATACTGACAACGCTCACGTGGATGTCGAGAGGTGAATCGCATCACTATGTTTTGCAAATTAACGAAACATATATACCTTTAGCACGGTGAAATACAGAAATGTTATACATTTGGGATATCACCGTTGTGCATTAATATTCATCAAGAATTTACAAGGAACCCATAGATAAGGCTGAAGAAGTAATTGGCTTTGCTGTTGGTAAACATGGGATGACTTTTATGGAATGTGCAAAAAAGTTGATTGAAATGTATTCAGGCTCTTTAATAAGAGTGGAGCAGTGGTTAATGCACCGATCTGAATTTAATTCCTGGCCACAGCTAACATTAGTGGCGAGTGATATTTTAACCAGTCCTGGTTGCCTCCTTGATCAACCCCCACTGAGCAGCATGGCAAAGTATGGCTGACATGCCATGGAGAGACTTTCATCCAGCACTGAATTGATGAAGGGCTGTAATTTATTATGAAAGATTTTAAAACACGACAACATGCTGAGTCATGCGATTCCATGCATAAGAACATTGTAACAAACTTGGTATCATCTTGTAGATTTAATTTGGAATTACATTTTTCTACGTGTTTAATATTTAGCATTAACCGACACTCTCATTCCCATCCCCGTCATCAGCTCATCCCCTTCCCCTGTTTAACAAATGGTAAGCCAGTCTGCCACCGTGTGCCGATTTTGAAAATGCCAACTTTGAGTTTGTTTGCATGGTTTCCCATGCATGCCCTCTTATAAAACATTTTGCCATTTAATACACGATTACAGCATCTGTTAATGTTCATCAGTTGGTGAACTTTTCGTTATTTTTCTTTCATTTTCAGACTTCTGCTATTTTGTTAATTTTGCATGCATTATTATTCCAGAGTGATTTATATGTAACAACATAATTAACTGCCATTCAATTTGGAGAGACTATTAATATTCTATTTAAATATTAATAGAAGATGGCTTATTTGTTCATGTTTACCAGCACATAGTGAATGCCCCCAGTAAAAAGTGTAATGATGTACGGTTCTGCATTTCCAACTGCAATCTGAATAAATAGTTCGAATGAAGCTCTATCGAAAGAGCCAATATTTGACACTGAAATATAGATTTGTATGTAAATGCTATACTTTCAGAGCAGGCAGTCCATCACTTGCAGATGACCAGTACGTCCTTCATATCGACTAAAGCGTATCACAATTGAACACAATTAAGGAATGCAGTTACTTTCATTAAAACATTTCATTTTTATGCAAGGCCATGACTGAAAGACTTTAAGAAAATACAGACGTGACATGTGATGATGAACAACCATGGATCGCCTCTCGTTGAATGGCATTAAGCAGCTTGTGTTTCTTAAAAGGCATTACTGAAACGTATGTGAATCTAATTTCGAACCAACTGTTATGAAACCAAAAATATATTTGGCTGGCATAAATGCCAGCGCAGTTTATGACAAAGATCTAATTACAGCCTCATCACATGTTTGCGTGATAAACTTTGCAGCTCCGGGCAAAACCCCAGCAAGAAGGTGAACTTGGTGCCAGGATATGTCGAGCATCATGTATCTTCGGAAACCTCGGTGTGATGACTCGTGTATCCCGTGGCGCCCTGCAATGCCTCGCAGTCAGCGGCTTCCACCACCACGGTTGTGATTTCCAGTCCCACTCGGCCACCCTTGCTGTGCCGTCTAGTCCTGCTCGGCGTGTAAGAGTAGCATGGCGTTTCATTTGTCATGGCTTCGTAACTTGTCGTCGGCACACGTTCATCAACAATGAAAAATGTTGAATCTTGTGAAACAATGAGAAGGAAATAAGGTGTCGGAGAAAGGGGTCGGTTGTTGCCCTGATGAAATGAAAAAAAAAAACCCGACACCTTAATGAACACGATGATCACGATGCACATTGATTTACATTGTGAAGGTTTAATTGTGCAATGCAGAAGCTTGAATTAAAAATCACTGCAAAGTACTGCGAGTGCAGCTTCATGGACAGGGGGTACCCTTCCCAAGGGACTCGCATTGATCACTTAAGACTGCAACGTTCCTTCTGAAGTAAACTGCCATGTAATTAAGCACATCCTTGATTTCAAACGATTCACTGTTGAATAACATCAGTATGATGAAAAAAACATTTGTATTTTGTTCCAGTACTTCCTTCAATAGCACTTACTCGTAGTCCTTGAGTAATACTTGTTTAATGCTTTTGTTTACAGCACATGTCGATCATACATTATTTAATTTTCACTCATAATTTTTGTATATTTAGATAACAGCTACAATCGACATTATTTTGGTGAAAACCGTTATGGTACTTTTGGGAGATGTTTGTCGAACAAAATGCTTATCAGATGATGATAAATGCTCCTTTAAGGATTAATTTATTTAAGAGATTTCACTGGTGTGATGGTGGTGTATATTTCTTTTGTTGTAAGCTGTATGTTTTATACATTGCGCATCAGAAATGTTATAGTCACTGCCAACATTTGATCCAGTCGCCTTAATTATGTTTCTTCTAAGTAACTCAAGTCTTATAAATGCAGTTTACTTGTCAACAAATCTCCATTGTATTTCTGCTTAAGTGTGATCAACACAGACAATTTTGGAAAACTTGATAATGAAGAATGACCATATGTAGAGTGGTTGTGATTTTGACGATCGCTGTACTTGTTACCCAGCACTCCTTCGGCTGTTTTGGGTTAAAGTTGTACTAAAAGGACCTGGGTGGGGTTTTTTCCCCCCCATTTTGCAAGCTGGGCTATAATTCTCACTTGACACTGTGTTTTAGCAGGTGAATCTACCCACCAGGTAAAGTGAAATATTGTATTTGTGAGAGTAATTTTGCCTGTTGGGAAATAACACATTTATAGTAACCGTGAGAAGCCCGAATGTGGATTCTCCCAGTGACTGTGAAGAGCACCAGTTATCCTTTTCGCAATCAAGCGGTGTTGATTTTTACAGATCTATAATGCCCTTTTGAATTAGGCTGTGAAGTAGTATAACTCTTCCTTTTAATGTTTGTACTTAAAGATTCTTTTTCAACAGCTTCTACGTGTAATTTCTACCTTTGACAAGAAACGTGAAAATCAGTGTCTCTGTATACCTGGCCTTCCTGTAGTATTTCATGACCTGGCCCAATAAAGAAAAGTTAACAAAAAATACGTGCCACAAGGCATGTTTATGTCCAATATCCACAGTACAAAGAGCCCAGTTTAAAGGCTCTTGGGACAGCTGTTAGGGTCCACAGTGATACACAATACAGCATTTCTGACTGCCACTGTTGGTCCCATGCTGTTAGAAATAGGCAGTGAACAGTAACATTGTGGATGTGACAAAAAAAGCCAACATTTCCTAGATTCATTATCTCTGGGCCCAGCAGTGGAGTTTGTTTAAAAAATTTGAGCTACATCTTTCAAACAGAAACGTTCGTATTTTGTAAAGATGTGAAATGACCCGTTTTTAATGAGGAAAGCAATAAATTAATAAAACTGGAACCACAAGTGTGTTTTATTATTTGTGAGATCGCTCTTGTCATTAATTTTATTTTGTTTAACAAGGTGAGAACTGAAGAGACCAGGATAGTGGCCTGGGGCATTTAGTCTGGCAGTAGGGGGTGATGTTTGCAATGTATAATCCCAATTGAGCCATTCGTGGGTAATTTTGGAATATGGAAAATTTGAACTCTGACACTGGAACACAATGGTCTACTCTTGCGAATAATGTCAGGAGTGCTTTAGCGTCCACTGCGACGAAGACAGCGCAGATCATTTTCACGGTTAATACATCTGCAGTAAGCATGATTAGAACTATGAACCTCTACAACAAACGACACGTGCTACTTATTATTATTATAGTTCTGGTGTTTGTGTAAGGTACCTGAATGTTGTGATAATATAAACAGCATGCCCAGTTATTTGTTCAAATTGAATTGATAGAAAATATGTATTGACTGAAAATTACGAATATTTCAGTTCAAACACCAGCCAGGCTTAACTTGGCCGACTCAACTGGGACACAAGGTGGTATGCTCGCAGAACCCTCTCCATCAACCCCACCCGTTCCCAGCATCGTAAGTCTAGCATGAAGCCAGAAAATCTTAAACCAGGGCCAAAATCTCGTTTTTCACGCCTGGACTTTCTGCCAAATCGGGACGTTTGGTATGTATGTATGATGGACTTATTTGACACTGTATATAGTTAACCGTGCTAAGGTGGACAACAAACTCAACAAAAAGCAGTTCTAAAGAAATGAGTTTTCAATCTTACCCTCGCTTGGTGGCTCTGCTCCAGTGCCACTAAAGTGAGAAACCTTGCTTGGTGATAAACCGGCATTGTTTGTAGTCATGGTCCCTACCAGCAATACAAATGTGGAATTTCCACAGCTGGCTCTGGCTTGTCAACTAAAATGAGCAACGTGCAACACTCACTTCGGTGCAACTCAATAGTCCGTAATAACACAATTATATAACCATGGACAAAAAAAACGATCTTGAAACAAATGGAAGCTTTTTGAAAGGAGATGGCATTTCAACAGTTGCAAAATAAAGCTGGTTACGCAAAACACCAATGACCCAATCACCTGGAATGCACCCAATTTCGGACGCTAGGCATGTTTGAATATATATGTAGTGCTTGAGTGGGTGGCCACCTTATATAAAACTAGGGGTTGTTCGGGGGTGCCTGTGGCGCCCCTCACAACCGTTGACGGCCTTCGGCCAGGAAAGTCACAAACGAAATTGCACATGACCGACGCATTCACGCAAGCACCCAATGCTCTGTTTTGAAGTTTTAAAATGAAACATCTTTGAATTTTATTGTTTTGAATTAGACACGTTTATTTCTTAATTAAAAGCTTATATAATTTTACATCTGGAAGACTTAATTGAAAAGGACATTTCGTGTGAATTTTCTCTCGTCGTTAAGTCGATAGCCTTGCTTGGGGGGTTCGGTTCGATGCGGACTTTCACCTGTTTGGGATTGCGGGATCGAGATCAGGCGACGGAGAGCTGCTGGCCGTGCGAGAAGACCGCCGTCTGCAGATCGACTCCAACGTAATCCAACGTCTGTCCCTGCGCCTCCGTCGTTCATGCAGGGGGCACGTGTAGGTTTGCAGCGCTCCCTGCATGAAAACGATGGAAAGTGATAGCGTTCATCACAGAGATAAAGTACTAGTACTGGTAGGAACGAAGTTGTAAACTGAGTGTACCAACCTGCAATAGATTAATGTGTCCGTCCGTCCGTCCCCTTTCAATACTTTAACGAAGTGAAATATCGTGCTGTTGGGTGTAAAATCAGCAATAGACAGCGCAGAGACTTGTCCTACCAGCCCACCTTGCAGGGACCTGTTTATAGGCTACTGCAAGGCTTCGTTGTCAGCAGGGGCCATGCAGCAAAATCCATTGCACCATACTGTGCTTCCACGTTTATGCTCTCCGCCGTCACAAATCCACACTGATCAACATCGCGTATAAGTCAATGACCTTCTTAAGCCATGTGCCCTGCCTGGCATAGGATGGCCTGTTTCAGTGGAGTGTCGTACAATGGACATATATGTGAATAATACTCGAGTCTTGAGTGCATTAATCCGAACCTTACAACCTCACTGAAACAAAACATGACCCTATTGCAACACATCATCGTTGGCAACAACTGCATCCTTCATGTAAACAACATACCTATACCTAATTCATGTGTTTAGTTGTGTATTTTTCATGCCACGCTCTTGTACCGTCAGTATCTCGCACCTTCACAGGAATGGCGATGCAGCAGTACTTAAATTAGTATTCTGTGATGACTTATTTTAGTAGAGATTTCTGCAGTAGACCACAGCTATACTTTAACCGTTCATTATCAATTGCAACACATGTCTCCAGATAGTGGCAAGCCAATAGGATTTTATGGCTGAACACAAATGGAGCACAGCCTTAAAATACACGTGTATAAGAAACTATCCACACGTTTAAAATATATAGACTACACATTTAAATATACAGAACATTGCAATCCAAACAAAATTACATGTAAAGGATCGACATTAGTTTCGATACTGTACTGGATTGAGAAATATGAAAATATAATGTAGTACAGAAATACAAAATTCTGGTCGAGGCCTTTAACATCTAAATCAAGAGGTACAGTATATTGACGTACAGTAACTTCAAATTTCACAGTGGTTCTCTGACAGTCTGATGCAATGCTAGCGGCAATAAAACACCCAAATGGAAATTTCTCAATTTCATTATGATACAGCACAACTGGAATATACCACGGGGGGGAGGGATAAATAAAGGCACGGAAAATAAATAAAAACCTACATCCGCAAACTCACGCTCCACTCCCCACAGACAAATACTTAGGATCCAAAATTCCACACACGGTTGCTTAATTTTTCCCAAAATAATCCCATCACACACACACACGAGCCCTGTACTTTACGATCGGGGAAAATGTGTGAAAATGTGGACGTGCAGGCTTAACAATAAAGGAACCGCCCAATAATACAATTCGCAAAGAGAGAGATTTACAATCCAGGATCATCCCACATAAAAAAACAATCTTCATATTCAAGAATTCCTTACATTTATAAACGCAAGCCCTGAATTCTTATGACTCCACCAAACCCATCACACGCGCGTCACACAAACTATTAAATTTTCAACCCATTCCCACTGTTCCCACTCACTGGGAGGGCCTCACTTCCACAATTGGCCGGCAAACTTCCACAATAAATTCACAGCCATACATTTTTTTGGAAAGGGGGCCTTAATCCAGCAGTAGATAGATCACGGTCGGTAATGACACAGGATATGCGAAACCTGCTCCGTGTCGAAAGCACAAGAAAATACATCCCCCCCACCCAAAATAAAGTAACTAACAGCCAGGTCGTGAAGATAAACATCGACAAACCCAGCAACAACCACCACCTACATGACAATAGTATTACTATCATCGGTCTTATCCCGTATAATTATTCGTCCAAACGGACTCAATGCAACAATTTAGAATCGGGATATTCATACTGGAGGAATCCGATGAGCTATAAAGCTCTTTTTCACAGGTGTCCAGGAGGGGCGGGTCAGAACGTTAAACAACAAACAATACAATAGCATGATAGAAGTGGAAAGTAAAGGGAAGGTAAATGAATCACTTTGAAAAATATATACAAGTAAAACTAAACTTTAGTTGTATCTTCTCAGGTAAATCCCACTTAGATATTAAATTCTTTTTCAGAAGTGACCTGGCCACAAATGAGAGCTCAACAAAGTGGCTTATAATGTGGAAATTTATAGCGGCAAAAAAAACTATAAATAATCTAAATTAAATTTCGATTTAAAGCTTTCGTGACTGCAAGGATTCATCTTCTGGTAAAGTCACTGACTTTACCGAAAGAACCAAGAAGATCATCTAAATTATTTATGGCACATTACAGGGTGTTTTAAAAAAGATGGACCCAATTTCAAAGCAGTATATTTCACGATGACAACATCTTACAATTACACAAAAAGTTACAAACGGTTCAATGAGTTATCAAGTTTTACTAAACATTTTATAAATGCTCTATGTGCCCTCCTCCTGCTGTACGGGACAACATCGAGGCGATATTTTGATTTAAAGCTTTCGTGACTGCAGTAATTCATATTCTTAGCTCTTTCGGTAAAGTCACGTTGAATAAGAATATCGAGGCGATAGTTGAATTCGTCCCGTACGCCTCTCTTCTCACGTTTCCCTCTGAGGTGCGTGGTCGCCCTGTGCTCTGCCCCTTACATCAACAGCAGCCCCGTGTCCTTAAATTGTAGGGACCAACGACGAATGCTCTTTGACACTGGCGGATCAATGCCAAAACGCCGTTGAAACGCACGCTGCACCGCAATTACGGATTCAGCCTTGCTGAGCTGCAGCACGCGGTGGGGTCACCATCTAGAGAATGACCGAGGCTAGGGGCTGTTTGTGTTGTGGGGGGTCACCGTCTAGAGAGTGACTGAGGCTAGGGGCTGTTTGTGTTGTGGGGGGTCACCGTCTAGAGAATGACTGAGGCTAGGGGCTGTTTGTGTGCTGGGGTCACCATCTAGAGAGTGACTGAGGCTAGGGGCTGTTTGTGTGCTGGGGTCACCATCTAGAGAGTGACTGAGGCTAGGGACTGTTTGTGTCACGGTGGGGTCACCATCTAGAGAGTGACTGAGGCTAGGGGCTGTTTGTGTCGCGGTGGGGTCACCATCTAGAGAGTGACTGAGGCTAGGGGCTGTTTGTGAGCTGGGGTCACCATCTAGAGAGTGACTGAGGCTAGGGGCTGTTTGTGTTGTGGGGTCACCATCTAGAGAATGACTGAGGCTAGGGGCTGTTTGTGTACTGGGCTCACCATCTAGAGAATGACTGAGGCTAGGGGCTGTTTGTGTTCACTGGGGTCACCGTCTAGAGAGTGACTGAGGCTAGGGGCTGTTTGTACGCTGGGGTCACCATCTAGAGAATGACTGAGGCTAGGGGCTGTTTGTGTGCTG